AAACACAGCATCTTTGGTTTGAATATGAGGCGATTCTCAAAATGCTGCGGTTGAGTCCGTGCTGTCAGTCATCATTCGTCGTCAATTCGCAGATGAGGGAGTGAAATATTTTCCTATTCTCAGCAGTATTGGTGCCAGGACCGCATTCTGTGGAGGATCGTCTGAAACGGGCTCCTATGGGGTTTATGCCGGGTATCCACTAGATGGTATATGGTCATAAGTAACGCCTGGATGTTTCTCACTCTCGGTTCTCCTTCTCCTTCGAACAATAATTATCTGCTGAGGAGGAACCTCCTTCCACCCACCCGTCTTCCCATTCACTCCTCCTCACTCCTTACTCCTATGTCTGTTTTCCCGAATCAATACTCCCCTTGTAATTTGCATTTCAGTTCTCAGGGCGGCGTGTCCATACGGAAGACTCCTGTCCGTCGGCTCCTCATGAATATTAAGCGGCCCACTTCGAGGCATCATTCAAAAAACAGGCAGCTCCCTCGGAAATTAAAGTAAAACATTCGCGAGTACGTGAGCCGCCGTGCTCAATTTCTTTTCGGAATAAATAAACGGACCGTCTTCACGTACCGCTCTCATCCCCCGCCTTTTATCCCACCTCTGGGCATCTCTGTGCTTATTCTACAAAATTATTTCTATTCATAACCATTTCATTAGCATAAAAAATATCTACCCGAGGAATTTATAAATAATACAATCGATAAAATTGAAATAAAAATAACGACTATTGTTAACAAAGACTACCTGGAGTGAGGGAAAAGTCCTGTAACAAGCATAACTACAATATTAAAAAATTCGTATACTTTTTTTTTTTTGAAAGACTAGTTTACTGGTCATTTTCAATCATCCTGGTCCTATCCTCGCTAATTTACCCACTTCGGGGGTTGTTTTCACCTTTATGGTCTTACCGACAGAAATATAGACAAATAGATAGGTTGTAAGAAAGTTCCAATAATAGAAAATTAAACAGATCGACAGATAATATTATATAGTAATATTCAGATAAACAGCAGAATTTCAGATAAAAGCAAAATAGATTAAAAAATCATATATCCTAAATGGAGTAATAGATATAAATTAAATTTTAAAAAACACCTACCACTGAAGGTAGTTAAATTTCGAAATTCTAAATACTCAAAATATAAATCCCGACCATCAATTTGGTTTTCGCTACTGCCTTTCACCTATCAAACAATGCCATTGTCTGGGGGACATTATCTCTTCTTTTCTGAGTTGGGGCAGTGCTGTACTTGGGACATAATTTACTTTATTTATTTATAATTAATTAAGGTTTTCAGTTGAGATAAAAAAGTCAATGGCACGAGCGGTACTCGAACCCACGATCTTCGGCTCGATACGCCACTGCTCTACCACTTGAGTTATCGTGACCTCGATCCACTCGGACACTAACTTCCCATCTCAACCGCACCTTTTGAATTTTCCCTCATTTTTGCCATTTTTCAAATGTCGTGTAATCCGATTGGATTCTCGACGACAAATGAACTGGCCACGGAGAGCTTTATGAAGTATACTTCATTTTAAATCATTAAATTCACTAATTTCGTGGTCCGCTTGACCAATTAATATATTGCAATTAATTAAGGTTTTTGGTTGAGATAAAAAAGTCAATGGCACGAGCAGGATTCGAACCCACGATCTTCGGCTAGATACGCCGCTGCTCTACCACATGAGCTATCGTGACCTCGATCCACTCGGACACCAACCTCCCATCTCAACCACACCTTTTGAATTTTCGTGGGTTCGAATCCCGCTCGTGCCATTGACTTTTTTTATCTCAACTGAAAACCTTAATTAATTGTAAGATATTAATTGGTCAAGCGGACCACGAAACTATTGAATTTATTTATTTATTTTATTTTTACGGGTCGAAAATCCATTTCTTAAAAAAACGTATACAAAAGTGAGGAAAAAAATACATTACAATGCTTAAAAGTAAATCAACATTAATCGAGAATAAAACACTACACTATACATCATTGAAAAAGACAATAAAATCCTTGTAATTAAACACCCTGTCTATACAATTATAACGTCTAGGAATTATACAAATAATAATAATAATAATAATATAATAAAGCATTATAACTACATGCATAGTACATTTTTAGCTTTGTTTACTAAATGAAATTATTATGTTTGAAGTAACTGCCGTTTTAACAAGGAAACAGAAGCTTTAAACAAATCAACTGTATTTCATATTAATCCATTTATGTTTATTGGTCTAATTTGACCAAATTACTTACGTCAATTAATTATTCTTTTTGGTCTTGGTTACGATGAAAAAGTTAGTGTCAAGAGCGAAATTTGAACCCGTAAAGCTGAAGGTCTTTGTCTTTTTAATTTCAAGCAAGACATAAAAAGAATAATTATAGTATTTCATATGTTGTAACATTCTATCATCATGCGATGCATCATGTTTTTTTATAATCAATAAAAAATATTTTCTGATTTCTGAGGTGGCAAGGAGGTATATAAAATTGGAGTTTACCAAGGATTTCGGGGGAATCGATACAATTATTAATTTGAAAATACAAAAATAATCTCAAAATACTTCTGCAGCTAAGATCAGAAATATTGAAGTAAGATTTAATCAGAGCATGAGAGAGGATTTATCATTGTGACAGCTTAATTTGAAATACAATGTATGAAGGAATTTATTTTGAACAGTTCTATGAAGTTTTATATCAGCGTAATAGTGCGGATTCCAGATGATTGAGACATATTCAAGAGTAGGTCAAACAAGTGAATTACATAGATGGACATAGCAAGAAGGATTTTTGAACTGATAGATACTTCGGATGATGAAACCAAGCATTTTAAAGGGCGATTTTTGATTTCTTTTAAGTGTAGCTTAAAGGTAAGATTACTATCAAAGATCTCTAATACAAGCTACTCTGGCTAACAAGTTGTGATTAATTGTATAAGAGTGGAAAATAGGAGATTAGATAAGCCAAGCTTTTCATTGAGTTTGAGCTTGATATTCATGCTCAAAGGCATCTTTCCCGCCACCTCATACTGCAGTTATCTCACTGACCGTTTTTCCGAATCGTTGAACAAAATTCCCTCATAGAATGTTTCCCTGACCATTGTTGGGGTTGTTCAGGGTTGCGTTCTGGCCTCAACACTATACCAGGTTTATGCAGCAGACATCCCATCACTTGCTGAAATTACCACATTCACATTTGCAGATGGTACAGCGCTTCTGACTCCAATCCTTTCATTTCCACTCGAAACTTTGAATCCCTCACACTACTAGATTGGTATGAAAAGAAATTAAGAAAACTCAATACAGACAAATCCACCCTCATAACCTTCACTTTCCATAAAAAGATCTTCCCTCCAGTCTTTTTAAATAATATTCCCTCCCAGCTAAGAGGTGGTGTGGTATCTCGTACTGTACGTTGACAAACGCTTGACGAGGAATCCTCACACAAGACTTGAATATCCAGAAGTTATGAAACCAATAGAGTTCTTGCTTGACTTTTTTCCCAACCGGATTGCCACATGTGACGAAAAATGCATCCAGAACAGTAACACCAGGTCGGATCATTGGTTCACTAAATGAAACTGTCACATTTAAATGAATGAAAAACGAATTCATCTACAAAAGGTGATGCTTTGAGTTTGGTGGAGTATATTTTTAAACATTTTTAGATCATTTTTGAACACTTACTTCTTTCATCACCGACCATAGTGCAAATGTTACGAGCTACCTCGGTTGCCAAATATTACTGTAATTAATAATTTCTTAACAATTTTGCCAAAACTAGTTTGGATCTAAAGTAGCAGTACATCTTATAACTCAATGTTGAAAATTCTCTTGTGAATTTTTTTCCACATATTTCTAGTCTTTTTTTTCACTTGTTCTGTTGTGAATTTTTTTCCATATATTTCTAGCCTTTACTTTCATTTGTTCTTCTCTTGTGAATTTTTTCCCTACATATTTCTAGCCTTTTCTTTCACTTGTTCGATTGTGAATTTTTTTTATATTTCTTGCTTTTACATTCCCTTGTTCTTCCCTTGTGATGTTTTTTTCCACATATTTCTAGCTTTTACTTTCACTTGATCTTTTCCATTCCTCCACTTTTTGAACAAATTCAATTAAAACAAAACACAGATCATAGACTCTGTAGAAATCAACCAAATATTAAGATGGGAAAACGCTGCTGAATCAACAAAAAACAGCAAGGTTAGACAGAAGTAACTATCAAACATTAAAACAAAACAATTACTTTTTTTTTTTTGCTAAATTAGGATAAGGAAAACACATTATTAAATTTCAAAACAATTTAATTATTATTCAATTTTATTATTTTAACAAAACATTTGTAAACCTTATACATAAAGTCGTACATCGGGTTTTTTTAAAGAACAAAGCTCAAAATTTATAAGTTTGTATGACTTTTATCGGACTGTTTGAGATAGACTTTGGTCATCATATTATGGCGATTAATTATTTGTCTGTCGCTAAAAAGGGTTGGATAACTTTTTTCAAGGGAAAAGGTGGTAAAGTAAGAGAGATAATGCAATTACATCAAGGTTTATATTTGTATTTAAACACTAAATAAAGGGCCATACGAGTGTACATATGACACATTTATGTTATATACATAGTATATCTTGTTTATTTTTTATAATGATGGCAGTATTATTCCCCATCAATCTATATAAAGCCAGCAAATACACGATTAAACAGATCTAAAAAATAAACTATCTGTATTTAAAAAAAAAAAATGCCTAAAACTGAATTTTTCATAAAAATTGATTACGTATTAAATAAAGTCTCATTTTTTTACAATTCAAATATAGAAAGTAAAAATGTCAAATCAATATTTATACATATATATGTATATATAAATATACCGATATATATACATATATAATTATATCAAATTACAAATATTTTTCTTCCTTTATCACGTTATAAATAGTGCATACTATCACAATATTTCTGACGTAATACAAATATACACGTTTTCACATTATAATGCTCTAGAGAGATAGACAATTAAGCGACCAGACAATATTTATATTATACTGCTATAATTAGTACGTTGAGGATATTTACAGGCAGGAGAGTTCACAAAAGAAAAATCACATTGGGTTTTGGGTTTGTTATTTTTAAGCCGGGAGAGGGCTTGGACGTGGTAGGATAACTGACCCGTAACGGCCAACGGAATACACAAATTACATTAATTACACTTTAGAAGGCACTGTTTGGTCATTTAATCGATCCATGTTAAATATTTTGACATGTTTTCTCATCCTTCAACGGACTTGTTTTCCTTTATTTACAGATATTATTAAGCTGCCCTCGGACTTTGTGCTTCCTTTCTTGATACCACCCTCCCCACTTATTAACACCCTTCATATTTACACATAGATCAACAGATTGCGTTATGTCCCCGCAAAAGGGGTGGAAAACTTTCACATCTTGATATTGCTCTCTTTTTCCTTTTTCCATGCCTGTATCCTCTCTTTCAGTTCAGTTGCTACAAAAATTAATTAATTAATTAATAATTTACAATGAAATTTGTGCAAACTGACTTACCAGGAAGCAGCATATCTTCGGACAATGGCTGCCTGCTGAAAGGGTCTGTCGATGAATTAAGTAAATGCCTTATGATCACATATCGATCCATTACTTTACCACTAGGCAATAAAACTGGGTCATCCATTAAAGTGTCCATTAAAGGATCTAAAACACAGATTTTTTTTTTAATTTAAAGACTGGTATAACTAAAAACTGAGCTAAGGTACGGTTATAAATTTGCAAACTGATATCATATTGTGGGACTTCTTCTCCATGAGGTCTGCAGGGTGATGAACCCCGTTGTTCAATCATTACCGATCATTTTGGTTGTTTATCTGTTTAGTCTGTCAGATGGATTTCCATTTACACTATCTTTGTATTTGCCTGCATTCTTTTATTAATAGTGTCCCTTTTTGATGTACTACCCAGTACAAGTCTTGCAGACCAAAATGATCGTAATGTAACTGCTTCAGTGAATTTAAGAATCCTTCCGTGACACTAATTTTTCTTCTCAACCGTCTTTGCATAAAAACTTCAAAAATTATTATTTGCAGATTGTTCCTCTTCCTTTCCTCTTTGGAAACCGTCTGAAGAAATTTGATGCAATTGGCGGTTATTCTCAACCAACGCATAAATGCTTCGTGTCATAAGCTTGGAAAAACCTCTATGATAAAGGATTCAGTCATTACCTAATAATTTGTATTTAGCTGTAGTCGATCATTTTCGTCTGAGTCACATGTTGGCATTGTGCCTCTTCAACATTGGGCTTGGGACTAAATTACAGGTTCAAATCCCCACAGACATGAAGGAGAAATCTCACAATTTAAATTTCATTTGATTTAATAATCAAACAATTAATTGATAGACAACAAAATATCTTGTTTAATAACTGAACTATTATTTTTTGGCCGCTGGTGGTTTTCTTTATAAGCCAACTTATTTAATACTTAACATGACGTCAGTCGCCAAGGATCTCAGAGATCTGTTTTTTTCTGAACAACTAGATATTGAAGAAGAAAATAACTTTATTCTTGGACTGGTGTCCCCTAAGAATAATTTACATGAAATAAATAAAAGAAGTTCCTTCTATGAAGTTAAAAGTAAAAAAAAAGATAGAAATCTTGGCACAATGTATACCAATAAGACAGGACAGAAGACAAAATTACGAGAATATTAAACAAAAAAACAAATATTAACGTGAGGTCTCTGCTTGGAGGGAGAGGAGGTGATTATACAGGTGGGATTTAAAGTAGGAAAAGGAGGCAGCGTGACAAATAGAAAGGAGAAGGGAGTTCCAGAGTTTATTGGCTCGGATCAGAAAGGATCTTTCGAAGGTATGGGTTATATGTTGCGGAAGGATAAGGTCGATTGGGGATGAGCGGGTCTTACGAGTGAGATGTGAGGAGTTGAATTGGAGGGATTGGATGATGTAAGGAGGACGACGAATGTGGATGGACTGGAAAAGAAAGCAACCTAGGAAATACTTGCCTGGACCCGATAATTATGGTGGTGGATTTGAACGGATTAAGGACTAGGGAATTTTTATGGACCCATTCGTTGATGGAGTTTAGGTCTTTTTGGATCTTAAGAATGGATGAGTGAAGATCGGAAGGATATGTATTTTTGGGAGTCATCGGCATGTAGGTGATAGTTACACGACTGGATGGAGTCGGGCAGATCATTGATATAAATGGAAAAAAGGATAGGAGAGATGCTAGAACCTTGGGGCACCCCAGATTTTAGAGGGAGGAAGGAGGAGATAAGGCCATTGAGAAGGGAGACAGCTCGGTGGCGATTGGTAAGGTAGGAGTGGAACCAAAGGATGGTGCTGGCGGAGAAGGAAAAATATTGTTGATCGATGGAGGGCTCTCCTTCCACACTGACTAGTGAATCCACATAATTCAGTGTAACAATGACCTTGAACTCTACTAAGATGTTCGACTAGGCCTCACTTGGATCCACAAGATCCTGCGCGAACAAACTTGTAATTATTCTCACTTTAAACAATTTTTTTCAGCAATTCTGGCTCTGCAGGGTCAACCCAAAGAGATCCGGTGAAAATCCATATGGAAAAGATTAAGACCCTTAAATGGAGGGATGGAGAGGATATCCTAATGCATCTTATATATTTTCCTTATATATCCTTATATATAGCCTTAAACATGGGTGTCCTTTTTAGATGGCCCAGCTGAATTTCTCTTGAACCATTGATCCTATCAAAAAACCAAAAAATACGTGTTCAATATTTTTTAGTCTAGTTTCAAATTTTTACCTTTTTCAGAGAAAAATTATACGAGGTACCTCCAGTCCAGTTCAACTTCCAAATTTCAAATACGGTCCAATACATCTTGACACATCATTTTAAAGGATTTTTTATGCTGAAAGCAATGTGCATTCGAATTTTAAATCAGTCAAAAAATGACAAATTTATGGCAAAAAGTTTGGGGAAAAAATCATTTGGTTTGCTATTTTCAATCACATTTCATGTTCAAACTGCCTGCCTTGTAAGGATGCAACGATTTGCTCGTTTTAACCTCTCTTCAACGGTGCTCAGAGAGATAGAGTCAGGGGAGATGGATTTACAAAGCATTTTCTTTCCTTTGCCGCAGATCTTTAACTGAGGTTGTCGGGTTATGATTGGCATAGACACTGTTTTGTAAATGGTCCCCATGGATAGTCAAGTGGAAATAAATCAGGTGACTCAGGAGGCCAACAGATCAGGCCATGAGGTCCTATCCACCTATCCCAGAAGTGACGATTCAAATAACGTCTTGTCTCTCCATTGTAATTGTTGCAAAGGAACATCTTATATTGTTGGTAAAACCTCCCTCAAAAAATTGAGAAACAGCACCATTTACATTATTTTTGAACAAATAAGGCCCATTAATTTATTTTCAAGTAGTCCACAAAAAACGTTGATACTGTGAACCACCTTGAACTTGAATTCATCAGTCCATAGTTTTTCTTCAGCCTCCCAAATCGACATTTGGGCAAGGAACGTTACACGCCTGTCATAATCAGAGTCCCGAAGTCCCTGGACAAGATGACAGCGATACGGCATAAAATCGAATTTTAGCAAATATACGGTAAAATATTCAGCTCCTCATCGAAATTACGCCGCTGGTTTCTTTTTGCAACAACCTTGTTATTTTTTGACCAATTTAAAAACCGACTGTACCCTTGTTTTAAGGGTAAAAAAATCTTGAAAAATATTAAACTGTTTGTTCAGAGTCTGAAGACCTAAATATGTACCACACTGGCTCTTTTTTAAAATAAACTGTTACAAAATATTAATGATTGACGACCACTGTTTTAACCACTGCGTTAACTCACCTGAGGAAGGATTAAAATAAATCCGAAACGTTGTGGATTGAAAAAAAAACTGGTTGTTGTTTTTTTTTAGATGACCTATAATCCCACCTTCGAGAAGGAAAAATCATAAGGTAAAAAATCCTTTAAAATGATGTAGGGTCATATTGGAAATTTTGAAGGTTAACTGGGCCTGAGGTACCCTGTATAAATTTTCTACAAAAAAGGGAAAAAATTTTAAACTAGACTCAAAAATATTACAAACTTTTTTTTAAAATTACGTCATTGGTTCAAGAGAAATTCAGCCGTGACATCTAAAAAGGACACCCTACGGATGAAACTGAAAAAATAGAGGTGCATGAAGAAGACTCAAATTCTAAACAGGGTGAGTTAAGTTTGGATAGTGATGATGAAGAGAGTGACAGTTATTTTATACCTGCAACAGGTAAATCGGGAAGAAAGTTGTTGACACCATGAATTGGAAGATATACATACACACGTATATATGTATGTATATGACTGATTTTTACCAAGGTTTAATAATTAACTTTTGTTAAGTCTGACGCGTTATTATTCTAAGTTGGTATCACGTTATTTTCAGTACTTACTGCGATCAATCAAAGACTGTCAGAAAAAATATGTTCCTAAATTATATTCAAGTACATAATATTTTTGTTAAATTATATTTTGCTTAGAAGTTTGAATAAAAATTATGAAAACATTATTTGCATTTTATTTTGGCCAAAGATAAAGAAATGGCTAGTTTTGCCTTTAATTATCAAAATTTGACAAATGAATCTTACAGATCCTGCATAACCTATGTGCAACTGACGGAGTGTTAAACCATGAATATATTGTAAAGTTTAATTTTTTTTTTTATTTATTAACCTTGATTTTAAAACAAGTAAACTAATATTAATTTTATCATTACCTCTGAATTCTTCAGGTGCGTCGTTGTAATCGACTTCTTTCTTAATGTTCATGATTGCTATTTCTGCCGCTCTTCTAGTGAGAGCTCTGAACTTTTCTACTTCGGTCGTTGACTTGATGAGCGACCTTTGTAACCGTGTACCGGCATCTTCGAACAGTTCTTTCCTGAATGAACGCTCATCAGCGGCGATGGCAGCGGCAAACTCTTCACAGTCTAAGTGCAAGTAGATGTCAACGAGCTGGCTTAACAGTTTCCTAGGCTCCCAACCGTACTTGTCTGGCTTGAGCACCTTCAAATTCTTGCCTGTGAAGACACAACACATGCGTATAAAAATGATAAACTTTATTAAAAAAAAAAAATTTAAATTATCTCTTACATTTAGGTCCGCACAGCTGCTGCAGATTGAAGTTCAGCATGGCTGACAGCCTTCCGACCAGCTCAGGCCTCAAAAATGGCTCTTTGATTTTAACAGTCAAGTAGTGGAACATATCAACCGTCTCTTTTGCCAGAGTTAAATAAGATCTAAAATGAAAACAATTATAACACACACCTGCTCTATATGAATTGTACATTTATATTTTAAATATTGGGTTGTCCAGAAAATTTACCCCTCTATATAATAAACTTTACATTTTACAGATTATTTTTTTGTATGAATGTCAACACTTTTTAACTCTCTTCTAAACAAAAATGTTTGTTTACCTCAGTAGCATTTCGTTACTTGGGAATAATTCAGCCTTTACTAAGAAGCTAAGGTGTAATTTTCTCATAATTTCATTTTACAAGTTTAAAATCAGCAGTGCCAAAACTGCCAGAAACATTAATGTAGTCTGGGGTGATAGCAGAGATGGTTTAAAAATTTTTGGGAGGGAGAGTTTAGCTTGAAGACAAAGAAGGTCATAGAAGGATTTCATCCTTAAATGATGTTCTGCGAACTTCAGTCGAACAAAATCCCAGGACATCTGTTCAAGCACTTGCAGAGAATCCTCCAGTTATCAAATCGACCATCGCTGACCACCTTAAGGCAATTGGAAAGGTGAAAAAGGTCAAAAGTTGCATTTCTCATGCATTAAACCATCGCCAAAAAAATTGTCGTTATGAAGTTTGTGCAACAGTTCTTTGCCTAAACAGAAACGAACCATTACTGGTTAGAATTGTTACTTGTTATGAAAAGTGGATTCTCTACGTTAACAGCAAACATTCTGGGCAGTGGCTCAACAAAGGACAGCAGAGAAGCAGCCCAACTTATCAAAAAAAGGTGATGGTACCTCTTTGGTGGGTTTCATTTGGGCTGACTTACTACAGCTTCTTAATGTACTGCTCTCAAATTGAACGAACTAGAAATTAGCATTATTAAAGCCTTCCTTGGACAATCGGAAAAGGCCGATTATGTTACAAGACTATGCTCGGCCCCATGTCTCACATGGGACAACACGAAAACGTTGGATCTGGTTCTGCCTCACCATCCCTATTCTCCAGACCTCTCACCTATCAACGACCACATTTTCAGACATCTGGTCAATGTTTTACAGCATAGAAAAATTTATTGATCAAAAGTCGTTAGAAAATGCGTTTACAGAATTTGTTAATAATAAAGACTCAAAATTCTTTGAGATTGATGGAGGGTTTTTTTATTTTTTTTATTATATTTTATTTATTTATTTTTTTAAATTAAATTAAATTTTTTTTTAATAAAGCTGCATTATTTTCTGGATAAACCAATAAGTTGTAACCATATTCAATACATCAATTGAAAATTGAATGTAATACGTACACACACTACATACGCACACTATGTTAGTGGAAAATAAGAAGAAAACAATTTCAAAATCAATAAAATCAGGATTAGCTTTGTGCGGGGTCCCTACAGCAAGAGGCCAAAGAATCATGTGCTGTCCTGAGAAATGTAGGAGGCCTGGCCAAAAGGACAGGCAAGGCTCGAGCACCAATGTGATGTGTGGACAAGTTTGAGTGCATGTAAAAAACATGTACATGTTCTGTTTTTGGCTTTTCTTTTTGAGAAGAAAGGAAGTTATAAAATACACCAGTTTATGGGATTGCACTTTGCATAAGCATAAATATGTAGTATATTGACATTTTAAAAATGTTTTGCTATTCAAAATAATTCCTTGTATTTACCGGCATTGCCTTTCATCAGCTGATAACTGCCTTGTACGTGATTGCTGTTGCTCTGTAGACAACTGGCTCCATTGATTCTGATCGGTGATCAACTCTTGAACTTCGTGTATCCTCTGAAACCACAAACGCAAAAAGAATTTTCATTATTGCACGATCACGAGTAATTTCAAAAGATTAACTGTCACACCTTTAAAGATTCTAAGCTTTCATCGAGCAAGAAAGTCGTGTCATTCATTAACATATTTATAAACTTAACAAACTGCTTTCCTGACCTAAAAAAATTAAATTTGTTTAAAAAAATGTTGAAAATAAAGACAAAAAGAAAAGTTACAACTAACTTACTTGGATTCTTTAACAATTGAATCGCAATGGACAGGACTTTCCCACATACTTTTCAGTATCAAGTTTATGTGATACCTAATAGTAAATTTGTCATAAAACTCAGAACTGGACCCAGTTGTTTCAACATCTGCAGAAAAAAAATCCAAATATAATGATCCATTAACCATACTTGTGCATATATACTTTACCGGTATAAAATTTCATGAGATAAGAAGCCAGATGAGTTTCTGAAATTGGATGACTCATAACTCGTTGGTGGAGAGGAAGATTCCTTGGAAGAATTCCAGAGTGGAGTACAAAAAGGACTTCAACAACTTTAGCTACGAGGTACGGATTTCTTATTGACTGAGGACTGCACACGCAGACGAGAAGCCATGTGACTAATGTATCGTCCAGACCGTCTGCTACTGTCGGCATAAATCTATAAAATGAAACTTGTTTAAATACCATTTCAATCTGTCTAATTACTGCATTAATAAAATAAATTTAATATACGTACTGTAAAATGAAAAGTAGGAATTCTGCGATGTCCTCGACGTACCACTCGGGTAAAGCTGAAAATATCTGCGGCGGCTCTTGTGGCAGTGGAAGCGTCGGGTTGTACTTATAAGGCTCCCCAGTGAGCACCCTGAGCAAAAATTCGGCGACTGACGTGTAAAACACTAATGAGCGGCGTATTAAAGTCTTATCGAGTAGGCCTGCTTCCGCACATGACTTATTTCTTACAAGTTTCTGAAAACCAAACAATAATTTCAATGATTGTTTTTAAAATATGAGAAAACTTTAGAAACTCACCTTGATTTGATGCTTCCATCTTTTAATAAGTTCCTTATTCCTAGCAGCCAATGGCAGTGACTTCCACTGGTCTTCACTATTCATCATTTCGTCCACCTTAAAAAAATTAAAATTGCTTAAAATGGCGAAACAAATCATATTGTAATCAAGAAATTATCTTAGTATATGTTAGTAATATTTGTAAAGTATTTCAAACGTAAGTTTCTGATGTCTGATCTGATGTCCATCCATAGGGAGGCAAAGAAATATTCCGCACAAACCTGGTTGAAGTTAATGAGTTATTTAGTGTGGGAGGTTCCAAGTTGCAGACATGACCCATCAAGATGAGGGACAACATAAATTTAGGGTGGCGTGTCAGCTGGGTGGGCTTTGTATTAATGGGCCTCGGAAGCAGTAGACTCAGTTGGTCATAGTAACGAAAGGAGTGAACCGCAGCCAGAGCAAATGAGAGGAGTTAACAGAAGGACTGATTCAGCCTGTCAGCAAGAGGATGCAGCTGAAACAGCAGAGACTGTCCAGGGCCGAGAGCGAGTCAAGAGCAGTTCAATGCAGAAGGAGTCCACTGTTGAGTGTCATGGAAGAAGCGAACAGGACGGATTCAGCCAATCAGAGTCAGACAGCATGCAGTCAAGATCTGCCACAGTGAACGAGAGGAGTCAACCTACGGATACTGTCAGCAAAGACCTGGCCATTGTGATAAGTCACTTAGCCAACTGTCGGGGATCCAGAAAGCTGAGGAAAAAAGATCCTGGAAGATGCTGAAGGGTGTGGGAGCTGATGTTGTCAAGCGTCGTTTGGGCTAAGCCCTTGTAAATAAGCATGTGCCTGACTGACTTGCGTTGTTTGTTTGACTTTTTTTATGAGGGTATTCAATTACGAGGTTATATGAACCCTGTGTGAACCAATGCCCATTTGTATGGGGTTCGAATGTAGCTTCGCTGGATTTGCACCCAGGACCTTTATCTTACAGCGATATCTAAACCGTTGCGACCACCAACTTCTCCTTTTTTAATTATATTTTTACTTTTTTTATTACAATATTAAGACTTTTCCAGAGAATAAACGTTTTTGGATTTCTGATCCTTGCATTCGTGCGTACAAAAAGTAAATAAAAAACTAAATGTTCTCCTATCTCTTAGTGATAAGCACATAGAGCATCACCCACTTACAATATAATCTAACTATTAGTCCTCTATTGAGAGATATTTGTAATTTACCAATTTTTGTAGATCCCTGAGAGAACGCAGTCTTCTTTGGTAACGTTGCATTGCTGGAATAAGAGCAATGTTGTGACAGTGGAGGGTTAGAAACCAGCACTGAGTTGAAAATTTAGGTGCACTCCAGTAGATCTCCTTGTCTGTAAAAATATTTTAATTATAATAATAAAATAAACCGATAAGGCAAAATAAAAGACTTACTCAATGTGTTGAGCCAATCCTGTGCTTCCGTCGATGTGAATCTGAGTCTAGTATCGTATTTCACATCCACCATACTTGCCGGATGGAATAGGTACAACGGATCGATCCTATCCATTTTTATCTTTAAACATAAAAATTACATTAATTTTCTTTTCTCTTTTTAAACACAAAAACGCTAATTTTATATCTGCCGCTACCTTAACAGATAGCATCTGCATAATTGAGAGTAAATTAATCATAAAGCCGTCACCGGCGAGAGCTTTGTCGTCAGTTTGCATCTGAGTCCTTTTTTCGTTACGGCGCAGAAGCGCTGCAATGTACGCTAGCATCGGCTCCCTCGATGAGCCATTAACAAGTATATCGTGGAAAATTTTGTGTGTGATGACCTGAAAAATTAATTTTATATTAAACACTAATGGTGATACATTAACCTTTTCAGTACTCATTTTTGGATACTAAAACGCATCACCTCAATAGATTTAGAGCACACAAAAAATCATGAGGGAGAGAAAACTTGTCACTAGACTTGACATTTTAAATATATAATAAAATGTATTTTAAATATATAAATAAGTTTTTTTAATGAAATTAATAGATAAATGTATAAATTGAAAGTTGGACTTGTTACAAATAAACAGAGTGAGATATCTTGTTGAGGTCTGCAAGGTGACAAAACTGTAGTTTGGTCATTTCTGATCAGCCTGGTCTGCTTAGTCTCACTGCGATGATCGAAAACGACCAAATTACTACATAAAAAATTGTTACAACAAAAAGAATTTTTTATCTAGACTAAAATAAATTTACTAAATATTGCATAAATTACGATGTATTATAAACTTACTCTAGAATTTTCAAGAACGCCTTGCAAGGTTGTATAAAGGGATTTATCTGTTGTAGAGTTTCCTGAAAAGAACCTGTCACCGACTTTCGGGTCCTCTTCCGTGAAAACTGAGACAGAAAGAAACGGGCCGAGGAAGGAAGTCCTTGTTACTTCTCGTCCTGCTGCATTTGTCACTGTGTAGGGCAGGAACTGAACCTGAAACGAGTTTTTTTTTTGTCAATCAGTGTATTTGTTTATTTTTTAAATTTTAAGTTGTGATATTTTACCTGGTTGGTGATGAGAGAACAGATTGGCCTGACCCCATTGGGGCCGCACCGGATGTCGACTAATTCAGCGAGAGCTTCAAGAGGCTTTCTGTGAGCATCGTCGACAAGCGAAACGCTCTGCATTACTCTGAACAAACCTTGAAGAACTGGGCTGAATACCTGGAAAAAGTAACAACGTATAAAAACAAAAGCTGTCGTCATATCTAGAAATTGTAAATGTACACACTCTGCTAAGCGTTTCCGGGTTGTTGTGAAGGCGTGTCAACAGCTCGACGAGAAAGCCTCTTGGGAGGGTCTGCATGAGAATAGGCTGGAGAAGAGGCGACGAAAGCGAACCAGCAGGCCCGGTAAAATCGACTTCCTCCAGGACGACATCCTGGAGCATGAGAGATGTAAACTGTACGCACTGGGCCCTGACTTCGGCTAGAACTGTGCTCAGCGGCTTGACGCTGCTTTTCTGAAATGCAAATACACTCAGTAAATTAATAAATAAATTAGTTAATTATACTGTGATGGGAAGATACAAGATAATTCCTTATTCCTTTTTCTACTGTAATTATGAAATCATAATACCTTGACAACTGTTACAGCCCAAAATCGCCAACAAAAATATGCCTGTCAATCAGTGGAGACGGGAGTGGGAAAATAATTTTAAAAAATAAATACCTGTTAAAGATATACGCTTGTTTAATGCCTAAATTAAAAGGCTTTACATCTCCTCAGTTTCCGTTTTCAACTTCTTGGGTTGTGTCAAATAATTTAACTGGTAATAATTTGTTGAAGTCGTGAGGAGTGGTCAAGAATGAGGTATTTTAGAAAAACACCTTTTTTATTTTTTTGCCGATGTTTCAACCTTTGTTCGGGTCATCTTCAGGGCATAAGGTGTGGTGCTATTCTTGTGGTGTCATATTGATTTTGTGTGAAAGTGTTGTGAAAACAAAACTAACATGACACCACAAGAATAGCACCACATTTTATACTCTGAAGATGATGGCCCTAATAAAGGTCGAAACATTGGAAAAAAATGAAAAATGTGTTTTTCTAAACTACCTCATTCTTGACCGCTCCTTACGAATCCAAATAATTATGAAACAACAGGTCACTAAGAAACACGCATTAATCGGTAATCATGATTTGAATGAAATGCATTTAAAGCATTGTTTACTTTATGAGTTCCAAAGGGAACAATGCAACTGTTGCAATAAAAGTTTGTGTGCACTGTTTGGTACTAATCTAGTTCCAATCCATTCCTAACCAACAGAAACAACGATATGTTCTTTCATTAATACATCTATACTTGTTAGGAATCGTTTATTATAGATAAATAAATAGCAGCGTTGATTGATGTTTAAAGTTGATATCCGTACAGCACAGTTGATTCCCGAATTTGTGGATGCTTTAAGTTTGGCTACTTCACAAATATTTGTGCACTTTGAAGTAGACAAGGAAATCGACAATTAGCCAAGCGTAGCGAGCACCAAATATTGTTGCTTGGCGGATAACCAAGCACCCACTAGTCAAGATTCGGCAAACCTTTGCTCGGCATTTGACAAATACCACATTTCTGGATCTACCTAAAGCTGGGCGCACACTAGGTCAGTGGGGTGGTGCAGCGTGGAATTGACCCCAAGAAAAGTACATTGAAATGAAAGTAACCCTGCACACTAGGTTGGTAGGGCGGCATGGCGCAGAGCTGGTGATATTCTCCAAATGTAAGGTGTTTGGTGTTGATTTCATGTACCCATGCTTTTCATTTTTGTTTTTGTCTTTCTTCCTCCTATTCCAACTCTGCGACCACGACCAGAAAAATAGTTTCCTTGTCACTATTATTTATTATGAATACAGTTATTTTCGTGTGGGGACTCCTGCAAATGCAAAATCAAACCGCAGCGCTAGTCAAATGGAGCGGGAAAATTTGACCAATGCGGCCGAGAGCAATTCCTAAATAGTGTGCAGACCTTCACAATTCTGACCCGCCGCTCTGCCCCACCGACCTAGTGTGCACCCAGCTTTATTAAGCTGAATAGGTCTCGATCTCAATTTGTTACAGACTAGCTCAAATCCACTGTAGTTGTAATAACATAAATTTAATTTTTTTTTTAAATTTTCATTTCAAAGCCTTAAGATGCGATTGAATATTTTCATCGTATTGCTCTACAGTCATAAAAGAGTGCTTGCCAAAAATCTCTATTGGCAAGTATTATTATTTCCCTTGTAAACAAAATGTTGGCGATTTTTCAACATTTATTTATAAAAGATGAACAATTTATATGAATCCATATATGTTTAATGGTCATAAATGACCATATTAATTATTCTTTTACAGACGTATATTAATTAACATTACCTTTGGGTGGTTGCGCTCTTCGATGGCGACGCGGCTATAGCATTCTGTGAGGTATGTGAGTGTTGTGGAAGCGTGTGACGGTGGGTTTGGCACAGCTGGAAGCGATTTCATCTCCACGTTGTCGTCCGGCGTTGAGCACAGAATCGGCGATGGAAGCGGGTTTTCCCCTGAGGCGATCTGGCACATAACTTCCATCAGGCACTGGCTTATCAGGTCCTGTATGTCAGTCTGCTGCTCCTCCTTCTGCCTTTCGGACATGACGGCGGCCGTCTCGGGCAGATATATTGTGGATTCGGCTTGTTCTGTCCACGAGACACACAACACTCTTGACACTACCGTTTGCAAATATTCTTCAGGAACTTCACTGCCTGTGCTTATAGTCTGCAAAAATAAATATAAAAAACTAGAACGCTAAAGTTGTTCATTATAAAAAAAAAAAAATACAAAAAAAGAGAACCCTTCATTTCCGTTTTATTATTTTAATTATTATATTTAATATAACATTTATCTTTTAATTTATAATTTGTTTTTGTTTTGAAAACTGTTTAATATTTGTGCTTTATGCATGGCCAATTTGATAAATAAGGAAAAAAAATTGTTCTTAAAAATTTATCTACTTAAGTCAAAAGAAATGATTATTTATTGCAGAATTTGTTTTACCCTGATCCTTGCTTCTTTGGATTCATCAACTTCCATGTTTTCGATACCCGAATCAACATCTATTTGCAACGATGTCCCTTTGCCCTCCCCGGCGCTCCTCGAGCCAGAGCAGTTCTCTGCTTCGGACACTTCTTCGACCTCCATCTGTGATGAATCGGTGCTGAGAGAATCACTCTTCTGGCCGGACAGCGATGGTGGAAAGCCAATTTCTGAAAATGCCGCTTTTTCAATTATCACAGCCGACAAAGTTTTAAAGGCTGAGAATAAAACAAAACAACAAAAAGAACTAATAAAACTACTATATAAGCTAGTGAAGCTGAAAAAAGCCAAAAGCTTATTCACAGCATTTTATACATTGTGATCACTTCAAGGATAATAAAAAATGCGAGGAGTTAAGACAAATGTCTTATTTTCTGTAAACCTAAAATAAATTACAAATTAACAAAAAATGCAAAATTACAAAGCAATTGACTTTCTAGAGCCACTAAAAAATATCAACAGTTAATAATTTAGGTTTAATTTACTTACAAAATGACTCTCTTGTCTATATTGACAAATCTTTAAAAAAATTAATTAATTTTTTAAACTAAAATCTTAATAATAGTTTTGTGTGGGGAATGTACGATTTAATATAAACGTATAAATAAAAATGTTTTTCCTGAAATCCAGGAAGAGAAAGAAAAGTAAACAATTTTGCATTGCAAACAAAAAAATCCCTGCTTTCTAGCTGTAAAAACAAATGTATATATAAATAAATAAAATACCAATGATAATTTGTGATATGGCTACGACTTAAAATATAAATATTCCCTTGTTTCGATTCAGCGTAATTTTTGTTCAGGCAATTTGCCAAATTGAAAGTTTCGACAAGATTAACGGGCCCTTGATGATAAGGACATTGCTGTAGGTCAAAACGGAGGATAGCGAACCAGAAATAGCGTCATAACCGACTATGAGTCAATATTTCCCTTGGGCATAGTTACAAACAGAAATCTGCTCTTCAAAAAGAAATAAAAGTAAAGGGAAAAGAAATCGAAAGTGGTTGATTTCGGATCATCATAAACTTTGCCTGGATAATACAATAATAGCAATAAAGAGAAAAATCAATAATGTAACAGTTAAAATTTGTTATTGTTTTTTCACTGTCATTGTTATTGTTTTCTTTAAAAAAGGATTAATTCAAGAATAAGAACATTTTTATTTCATTGCCAGTGACATTTAAAATACTCTCATATATGTTTTATTGAATATAAATAACTAAAAGTAAAAAGATCACTTATAAAAATATAAAAAAACAACATTTCCAAGTGATCACAATGTAAGTAAGTGATAATCTACAAAGTCTACAAATTTATTTGTTTTTATTGAGTATCTCATCAGAATTGAAATGATAAATGAGCCAAAAAAATTACTGTCCACACGCTTTTAAGTTTAAATAGTGAAACTTAAAAACAAGTATATAATATACAATAAAAAATATTTAACAAAAATTAAAAAAAAGAGAGAGATGAGAAAACATAGATTTGAAATTCTAACACACCTTCGAACATTGCTCTTTTCCGTTTGTTCTTTTCTGGGAGAGTGAATATTTCCGAGGGTGCTGAATCTGAAAATAGTGCCATTTCGGTTAGGATAATGTTAATTCTTGGCTCAGTTTCTCAACGTTTATTATAAAACATGCAGAGTAACAGTCGGAAAACTTAGCTTTTCTACTAATATTCCTATCTGCTCAGAACTCTGCGTGCAATCGCGTAATCCTAAGGCATCTTTGCGACACAATTCAAGTCTAGAGATTCTATTCTAATATCAATTAAGCTCCGACTATTGGGCAGTTTTAAAATTGACGCAAGTTTCAAATCGAAGACAAAAAATAAAATGACAATTCAAACACACAATTATCAATTGGATCTAATCAAAAAGAATGTTCAAATCACTCTACAGCAAATCAGCAGATGAAATATATAAAGATAATTTTTATTGCAAAGAAATAAAGAGTAAGACTTACAAAATTGTGTGCGTTTTTATACATAGTTTGTTTTATTTGATGATGTATCTGGTAAACATTTTTTACAGAGAATTTCACGTAATTTCAGTTTTGTGTATTAGGAATCCACCATTTTATAAAATTGTAAACTGTGCTGTGGGCAATTGATGGGTTTTCTTATAGGGTAGGTGGTTAACTAATTTTCCCGTTTGCTATGTACTATGTTCGTTCATCACATCGTTTATTATAGTTGGATTTTAAAAATGAATTGGGATCAGATCTTTCTATTATTCACTGAATATTAGTTTTTTAAAAAGTAGTGGGGCATGCCCATAGTATTTCAATAGAATTAAATAAACAAGATGCATAGAAGAAATGAGAAAAGAATCTGAAGGGACAAAATGAAGATGAACAAAAACATGGTACTCGAAAAGGGTAAAGATGAAGCGAGAAGCTGATTCCGGCATATCAGTAGACCCCTTCTTGGTACTCGTTGCAAGATACAGGGAAAAAAGATATGCATTGCACCATTGAATGAATTACACAGAACATGATATGTAGCAATACACAACTGACAAATGTTACAAGTATAAAAGGCATATGTATACATATAAAGGGGCGGCAATTGACTGAAAAATAAAAATAATTTGTACTTTTCTATGGCTATTTTTAGCTCAAAATGTACAGGCCTTGCATCATACACTCAAGAATTTTTTTTACACTATTGTCTACTTCTAAAAAGCACCAAGTATATAACTGTTGCACATATGTTTCCAACTAGAATTACTGCAGCGAGACTTTCAAAAGTTTGAAAAACTGCAATGTGGGAAGCATTTTCCTACAAATTAGGCTAATGTTCCTTTTTGTATGCTTTTTGAATTGTTCAAGCAATAAATATGCTCAGAAGTTTCAAATTTTGGCAGGTTTGAACAAAAAAAAATCTTAAGTCCCTAAACGATAATTTCAGTTGTAAAGCTTTAATGGGTGTCCTGTGAGTTAAAGACTTGTTCTTGGTTTTAACTTTGTTGCCTGTCTTATTCACACACCAAACTGTTTGTCATATTCAGAGAATAGCGTACATTTAATTGTTTGTTGATTTGATTTTATGATATGGAGGTATAAAATGCCTGGCCTAAACAGAAAGCTAATGTTCAAATTGTTGACAAATGTTTAATAACTTGCTTACCAACTAAAAACTTTCCACTAATAACACTAAATATGAAAACCACTATCAAGTAATAAACTGACTACAGGTTATGTAGAATCAAACTTTTTCCTTTGTTCAATTAAATGAAAATAGGCCTACTATTGTCAATTTGGTTTAGTGTAATTTTGTTTTATAGAGCTTGTCAGTAATTACAATCTGTAGATTATATTTTTTCCCTAAATGGAAAAAACCTTTACTCTTTTTTTTTAAACTGCAAATATATTTAAATTAGATTTTTTTTGTAAATTATGACTTTTAAATGATTGGTTAAAATAATAACAGGCTAAAATGTTACACTTTAGACAAAATTGTTGTGAGTTTTGCAGAATCAAAGTATTCTGTTTTTTGACCTCTCAATGGATATCTTAAAAACAACGACAATAATAAAACAAGGAAACCCACAGATAAATATTAAATGTAAATACACTTTGTTCTATAGGCTACTATTTTTCAGGCAAAAAAACATATAATAATTAACAAACTGACATGTCTAACATGGTGAAAAAATTGTGAATTCACAAAGCAGCACTGAAATTATGGATAACATGAATGATGGCTGGGCAGCAAAAAAATAAATGACAACAGTCAATTTCAATACAATTGTTTGTAACTATTTGAGGCACTGTAAGTGACAATATTATCGACCAAGTTCATTGACCGACGTAGTAACATTAAAAGGAAACCCTGAGATCAATATTAAGAAAGGTTGATCTTTAGTTTCAGGGCCAAACTAAAATATTGCAAATTAGCCACTGACTATTTGGATTTTGACCTGATCTTTTCACATCACTGACATAGCAAATATTAGAGCAAGGAAACTGAGGGGAAAATGTATTTCTAGTCTGATTTTTTTACTGCAAGCCCCATTTCAGTGTTAAAAGTATAAAAATCTTGTTTTTGCCAATTGTGTCATTTTATAAGTTAAACTTATAGGAAATGAAGATAAGATAATGTCATAAATTTTTAACAATTGTTGAAATTGTATAAGAAACTTATCTTATGTGAACAATGTAACAAAGGTTTACACAGATGAAGATGTACTGAGTGGAAACAATTTTAAGTATGACAATATCTATTGATTTTGGACAGTTAAATTCACTGTCTCATAAAGTTATACATAATTGGTGTAGCGATATGTTGGCATGATGTTGATTTTGTTTTAGTCGTAATGTTATTTATACTTAATAATGGCATAATCAGTAATAATTACTGGTATGTAAATACTTGTCCAATTTGATTGGTGTATTTTAGGCCTTGGACTTGATAAGAAATGACCCTAAATTTCTAATTATAATATCTGTTTATTTTGAAAGGTTGAATTCTAAATTTTGATAATTAGAACAAATCCAGCAAATAGATTAAAACCGGTAAGAACAAATGTCAATGAGTGAAACCCAGAATTGTTCCAATTATTGAACAAAGGAAATGACATACATAAATGTTAAGAAACGCAATGATTATTTTATTTTACTAGAAAAAAAACTTCATTGTCTGGAAGGGTTATGTAGAGTATGGTGTAGGCGTAAGAAGACTAAAGGTATAACATCAAGGCATTGAAACCCGTGTCAACACTGATCAATGAATTTTAGAATTTGTAAAACAAACAAAAATTGAAGGTCTGAAGTTTACAAAATTATCAAATGTTACAGAACCAAATATAATAACTGTTGATTTTACAGTGGGGCAATTTTATGTTGGTTACAGTGAAGTTGTAATGTAGTATTTATAAGTAAACTTATCATAATCGGAATAATCAATTATTTTTTAGGCCCTTAACTTAGTAATAAATGTCACATTTATGTTGGGTCCAGTGTAGTCATACTTCATTGGGTATGATGTCATAATCAGCATGGAAACACAAATTCGAACTCTATATTTTAGGCTCTCAAATTGATAAAAATAGTATAAAAAAATCTAATTATAAGAATATCTGTTGATTTTGGAGGGTTGAATTCTAAATTCAACTAATTAAATTGAATTTATTTGTTGCACTATAGAAACAAATGGCATGTGTAAGGTTATGTTGGGTACAATGTAGTTGCAAAGTATTTACATGTAATCTAAAATTGTCACAATCTGGGTAATTAAACTTGTGTCAATCCTTGTACATGGATTTGAAATTTTCCAATTATTTTAGGAACCTGAATTTGGAAAAATTGTCAAAACCATAAAATATTGGTATGTGAACACATATGATCAATGAATTTTAGGCCTTGAGTATAAAAATGATTGGAAACTTTTAATTATAATAATATATGTATTGGGTTGAACTGTACTGGGTTGAATTTTAAGTTTGGATACTTGAATCCAGCCAAGTTAATGAGATTAAAACTGATAAGAACAAATGCCAATGGGTATGACACGGAAACAAAATCAACATAATGTAAGCATTAAAAAGGCTTTATACTTTTTTATAACAAAGAAATAAATGTCAAAGGTAAGATTATGTTAGGTATGGTGTAGTCTTAATATAAATGAGGTGTGAAGAGTATTACGCAGAAAACAAACACTTTGAGTGAGTAGAAATACTTTGAATATATTTAAAAAAAATATTTTTTGCATTGTATAAATTCACTTTTTTCCACATCCTACATGTATTTGTTAAATTTAAACAATGTTTATAAATCCCAGGCCCTAAAGATGATCTCAACAAAGATAAGACGTTGGCACGATAAGAAAATGTTTTCTGAAACCTACATCACACCAGACTGCATCTCAGGATTTCCGAATAAGTATGTACATTATTTTTTTTAAGTGAAGATTCTACTCACGTAAAGTAGTATTTACATGTAATCTAATATTGTCAAAATCAGGGTAATGTCACAGGTAAAGCATGCTAGGTACAGTACAGTCTTAATACAAATGATGTATGATTATGTAAATTAATTTTTTGTAAATGATGTTTCTCCTCACAGATTTGATGTTACAACCACAGTTACCAGTTGTAAACAACAAATCTGTGAGTGGAACCATAATTTACAAAAAGTGAGTTGTCGCAATGTAGTATGCTGGACACTGTGAATTATAACAAATCATTGATTGTGAAGGGTCGAGTTTTAAGTTTTTATACTTGAATTTTACCCAGAAAATGAATAAAACTGATAAAAAGAAATGTCAATGATTGCAAGAAAAAAAATCAAAATAATAAAACCATTAATAAACTTAACTTATAGTTTATTATTCTGTATATTTTTTGTAACAAAGAAATAAATGTCAAGGTAACATTAGATACTTTGAATTATAACTATATCTGTTGATTTGTAAAGGTCGAATTTCAAGTTTTGATACTTGAATCTACCTAGAAAATGATTAAAACAAATGACAATGATTGCAAAAAAAAAAAAATCAAAATCAAAATAAAGTATTAAAACGGTTTTATAGTTTATTTTGTATAGTTTAGCAACAGAGAAATAAATGTCAAAGGTAAGGTTATGCTAGGTATGGTGGGGTCTTAATAGAAATGAAGTGTGATGAGTATGTAAATTCATTTTTAGGAAATGTTGGTTCTACTCAGAGATTCGTTGTTACAACCACAGTTACAAAAAAAAAAAAAAAAAAAAAAAAAAAAAATAATAATAATAAATGATTATTCTTATCATTTATTGATAAGAATAAATTGTCAATGATTGTGACAAAAAAAAATTTAAATTAAAAAATAAAACAAAACCATTAATAAACTTAGTTGACTAATAAATGTCAAAAGTAAGGATATGTTAGGTACGGTGTAGTCTTAACAGAAATGAGGTGTGAAAACTATGTAAATCAACTTTTTGTAAATGATGGTTCTAGTCACAGATTTGTTATTATGACTAAAGTTACCAATGACCAAGTTGTAAACAATAAATCTGTGAGAATTACCATGTATTACCATATTTACAAAAAGTGAGCTGTCTTAATGTTAGTATTTTTTAAAAATATCTGCTGATATTGAAAGGCCGACTTTTAAGTTTTGGTACTTGAATCTAGCCCAGAAAATGATTAAAACAAATGTCAATGATCAAAACAAACGAAATGTTCAATGCAACGTCACAATCAGAAAAATACCTTATTTTTTAGGTCATTAAGGTAGAAATAAATCTTGCATGTAAAGCTATGCTTGGTACGGCGAAGTCTCAAAGTAATGTCATAATAAGAGAATAATTTTATGAAATTTAGGATTGTAAAAAAATTTTTTAGCTCTGGATTTGATGAAATTGGCTAAACCCTGATCCGAGGCAATTTCATTTCGTTTTAACAGTGTTAAATTCTATGTTATTGTAGTATTATATAGTCCGTTGAATTGATTAAAACCAATAAGCTGAATAAATGTTAATTATTGAACAGTCTGGATTGTTTGTTTGGTATATAAAAGAAAATATAAGGATAAAATCGATTCTCAGGGCGCCCATTGAGCAACAGGCAAGGTATATGTGGTAAAAATTATAAACCCTAATTTTTTTTTTTTAATTAATAAGGTCTTGGAAAGTGTAATTATCCTTTATGATTTGCTTTTTTATTTATTTATTTTGTTTAAATGGTAAGTACTCACCCTTCATCGGCGTGATCGGCCCGGGGGTGACTGGCGACGCGGCCAAGGACGATGAACTCGGCGACGTCGGCACCTGCGCTCCGTTCGACGATCCTGGCGAGGCCTCGACCACGGCCAAACGCGCCAACCTTTTCTTCCGTATCTATTTGGCCCGAAACAAAAGAAAATTAGAAACGAGTCTTTTTTAGACTAAAAGAAAAGGGTTGGAAAAAATAAAAGTTAAAAAAAAATAGGGAAAAAATTTTCTCAGGGGCTTAATAAATATGAAAATGTACAATTCTGAATAGGCAATTTTTGGTTTTTCCCGATTTTTTTTAATAAGTGGAAAACATCCGTTGTAAAAGACTCACCTCTTCCTGACTCAGCTCGCTCATTCTGATCGTATTTTGGCCTTTTGTCTCTCTCGGCTCGGGACGAGACTCGGCTGTCTGTGTCTCACGTGGATCTCGAAAGCCGTTGGTATAACAATTTTCGTTTGCAGACTGGGAATTTGGCTTTTGGGGGAAAAAAACAAAGACGGAGTAAATAAAATGTTAACCACACAAGACAGTCACCCTTGAGAGGATGTTTTGCATTTAGCACTTTCATCAAAGTGACGTAAAGGCCCAGCTGTTACGGGACGGGGCACGGCCTGCATGAACGGGACGCCGTCAGCACGAGCATCGACAAAACAACGATTTTCAACAAAAAGTACAACAAAAAACAACCCTTAAAAACAAATTACAATCTGAATAATAACAAAAACACCAACGGAAAAAGCCGATTTTTCTACTCCATAGAATACGTTCTGCAATCAATACTCAGGTCGTTTAACTTTCCCCATTTACACAAAAAATCAATACCAAAAAAATTTTTTTTTCTTGTATTTTAAATTCATTTTATATTAAAAAATACAAAATTTGATATAGAATATTATCACTTGATTCAATAATTTATTGTTTCATTTTATTTTTTGTCAAGCATTGTTTATGATTACGCGTAGCATTTGAATTCCCAGTTTTCCCGCCAAAGTTACACAATCTTTTTGGTGTCATGTCATACATTTTCAACTAAATAAATGGGAGTTTTTCTCTTTCCGAGAAAATAAGATTTTAACAGGGTTCGAAAACCGCAGGTGTCACAAATTTTTCTTTGTGAATAAAATTGTGTATAATTAACTGATAATTTGTTGAAGTCGTGAGGAATGGTCAAAAACGAGGCGGTTTAGAAAAACACCTTTTTCATTTTTTTTGCCTGCGTTTCGACCTTTATTCGGGTCAACGTCAGGAAATAAAGTGTGGTGCTATTCTTGTGGTGTCATTGATTTTAACCATTATGACACCACAAGAATTGCACCACACTTTATGCCCTTAAGTTGACCCAAAGGTTGAAACGTGGGCAAAAAAAATGAAAAAGGTGTTTTTCTAAACCGCCTCATTCTTGACTGCTCCTCACAACTTCAACAAATTATGAAACAACAGGTCACTAAGAAACAAACATAATTGATTATTTGAAGATCCTGAGATGCTGGTGTTATGCAGGTTAGAAAAACATTTTATAGTGCCAACGTTTTGATATTTATTGACATTTCAGGGCCGGGGGTTTACAAACATTCTTTAAATTATATAAATACACGTAGAATGTGAAAAAATGAATTTATACAATGATAGAAATGTTTGACTCATTCAAAGTTTTTGTACTCACGCAAAGTGTTTACACAGAAAACAAACACTACAAAACAACAATTGCACTTTATCTGATATTTTGTTAAATTTGGAAATTACAAGTAAATCAATGGGAGTTTCTCTTTTTGAGAAAAGAAGGTTTTAACAGATTGATGAATTTTACTGCAGTTTACTATTTTTTGTCTTAATTAATGTCTGGAAAATGTTTTTCAACAATGCACCTGTTAAAGGGCAAAAAGTCAACTATTTTGCTATGAAGTATAATTTGGATCTACCGGAAGCCCATTTTAAAAATACTTTGGACTTGAATCTCACGTGGGGTGTTCCAGCAAACATTTTAGCATCCATCAACGATTGCTATTTAAAAAAAAAAATCGATTTTTATTGATGCGAACTTACCATATTTGATCACAATCTCTTTTCATTGGTGCATTAAAGGAGTATAATTTATTTTAAAAATAGAACATCACAAGATGATTTCCAGATCAAATAATTTATTAACTCTCATTTTCATTCCAATGCTCTTACACGTCAAACATGGTTTTCTGAGTTTTAAAAAATTTGCTTGTTGTGTTATATCATTTATTCTATAATGAATTTCCCAATAATTTTTACCTTTATTAAGTGAGCATTTAAATATTATAGATTTGTACACTGGAGTTAAGGGGTGGGACCAGAAGGGATTTGAAAAAGTCTAACAAAGGGACAACGAGATTGGTATCACACCGCTTCTTGTGAATAGGCACTGGTTTCGCAACAAAATTTTAATTTTGAAAGTTGAAATTTTCCGTTTTTTAATATTTTTATTTCGCCATGCTATTTACTCAAATCAACCAATATATATTTAAAAAAAACAAACAAAAAAAACAAAAACATAAAATAAAATAAATGTAAAAAAAGAACAAAAGATATATTTGTATTAAAACAGGTACATGTTCTTTGACTTATTTTAATTACATTTTTTGTAAATGTACGATATATTTTTCTTCTGGATGGACATTTCAATGCTAAAATGAAATTTTAAACTTTTTCCTATTTCTTAAAAATATAAAATCAACACTTTGTTATAATTAAAATATGAAAAAAAGTTTATAACCTTGGCTTTCTAATTTTATAAAATATAAAGGATATCATGTGAGCAATGAAAGATAATCAGGGGGTAAAATGTTTTGAAAGGAATTGAGTAGCGATTTTTGCCTTGATTTCATTTCTGCTTCGATGACCAGGGCGTTCAGCTCGGAAGCGCTGTAGCCGATTAGCTGTTTCAAATCGCAGACAAATTTGTACACAAATCTCTTTCCATGGACCTGAAAAAACATTATTTTGAATCAGCTTGAAACAATAATTTGAATTTTTGTTGAAGTTATACCTTTGAGATCATGTCACCGTCATAGTAGTAACGTAAAGCACGGCTGAGCTTCTCGTAATTCATGTGTGGTTTGTTTTTTCTAATGCCCCAAAGGGCAGCAACATGATCGGGGTTGATCAGCTTAAATTCGCCCTCTACATGCAACCACTGAATAATATCCCTGTGCGATTTGTCTGTAAGAAGTTCCAGGAGGAATTGCCACAGCTGTATTTGACCGTTGTGGTTGCCTGTTGATACGATTTAAATCAGAGAAAGAAATCGTAAAAATGATGTATTGAAATTTACCGCTGAACATTCCAGCTGAATAAGGAAGAATAGAGTCCTTGTAAAAAAGTTTTGGTGTTTTACTCATTCTTATCACTTTCTCATTTTTGCCAATCACTAAAGCTTCTTTCTTTGGAGTTGACATTTCATCGTCATCTTGTTCTTGTTTTATTTTCACTGGAATCTTCTGTGTTGGCTTAACCGCTGTTAACATGTATAATAGTAAATGTTTTACTTTTATCATTTAAATAAAAATAAACTTAAATACACACCGACAATTTTACATTTCCTTAAAAGTTCAAAATGTGTCCAGAAAAGGTTTTCAGGGTCGTTAGGGACTTTGGCATGGAATTGTGTCGATGTGAGTTTGTTGAGCTCGGCGCCGGTCATTTCCCAGTCAGAGAGTTGAATTCCAGTTAAGTTGAACTGCCTGACGGCCCAAAGCAGCCAGTGTCGTACATGTGACTTGTCCCAATTCATAGGGTCTACAAAAAGCCTGAATAAATACTTTATTTATTAAAAAAAAAAAAAAAAAAAATAAAATAATAGTAATACCCTCAGGGATTTGAAGTTTGATTTGGTCTTTTTTGAAATTTGGGTCGACAATGAACCTCATGACCTCGTTGTCCTTTTCCTCTTCGCCTTCTTCCTCTTCCTGTTCTTCCTCATCTAAAATATATCAATAAAATCATCTACTGCACACAAAATATATGTCATGAATTCTTACGCCTTTGGCCGATTTCGACATATTCTTCTGCGGGTTTGAGAACATCGGCTATGTTTATACGCTTTCCTTTTGAGTCATTTTTAATCTCTACATTTACCTGTACGAGCCCCTCTCCTTGTACACATTGGTCGACTAGGTTTTTATGCCCTTCCAACTGGAAAATATCAAAAATTCAAGTAACATATTAAATTTTTAACTATACAATTTATTAATACGATTTGAGAATCTTGAAGTGCAAATGTGTAATCGGTTAGATCGGTTTTTAGCTTCTCCTCTAGAAGATACTTCAGTGAAGATAAAGGCTCCCTAATGTCCATGTGCAGCATAATCATCCCTTCATCTCTATAAAAATGATTAATAATGAAAATAATATAAACGTGAAAATGAAAAAACAAAACTGTTGACTCACTTTGTCAAATCAGTCTCTTCTAAGCAGACACCACCATTAACAGAAATAAATTCATTGTTGAACTGGTCTGATATGTCTGGAACCAGATGCAACTTTTAATCTTAAAAACAATTCTAAATGGCAATTATCGCAAGCAAAATAAATAATAAAATAAAAAAGACCAAATTTTCAACAAACCATCTTGTTATACTGGTGTTTTAGTCCTTACATTCATGTGGTTGATTAATTAAGAGTTCAGTGTTATTTTATGGTTGTAATTGTTATTGTATCCCCTTAACTGTAGTTATTTTTATTTATATATTTTTTTTACTACAGTTTACAACCGAAAGGATCATATGAACTCCTGGGGGTGCTGGTGTTTAGAAAAAAAAACCTTTGTAGCTATGTTGTATTACATTATTGTAGCTAATTTAGCTACAATATAATTAATTAAAAAAAAAATTTAAAAAATAAAAAAAAAACGGTATTTTTATTGACAAATACTGTGCTAAAAAGTTTATATAATAAAAAAAAATAATAGGAAGAAAATAATCTGCTATGAGGACTGTCATTTGCATACAGTAGTATTTAACACCTCCGATGTGCACCATCTAAAATACAATCGATCATCATACCAGCACATGCTTTAAAATATTTAGAAATGCCATTCATAAATTTCGAGGAAATGCCTAAATTGGAGAGTTTGAGGTTCAGCAAGGAATGATCAACTAGATCAAAAGCTGATTTAAAATCAATAAAATGGCAATTTTTCCCCTTCTTCAAGAAGTCTAACTTTAATGAGATTATACAAAAATATTAATGATAGCACCATAATTTGTCCGGAAACTTGGAATTAGAAAATTGCCCTAGTGTCCTTTTAAGCAAGTAGTACATTGTTTTTCCTTGACTCTTCTCTTCCTCTCGCTCTACCTCCTAAGCCCATCTACTCCACAGAAGTCTTGTCTCAGATTTTCTGCCTTCCCAAAAAGGAAATCCCCGAGCCACGATCTTATTACCAAAACCACACAAATCCCTATTCATATTCTGTCCAAAATTTTTAAATCTTCTTAAAAGATTAATTCGACTATGAAAACTGAATTCCTAACGATTGATTTGGATTTCAATCCATCTATTTTACTGTTCAGCAGTGCTTCAGAGTAGTAAACACGATATCCTTGGCTCTAGAAAACAATATTTCTCAAATGTATTTTTAGACATTAAGGAAGTATTCGACCGAGTGTGGAACCCTGGCCTACTTTATCAGTTCAAACTATACTCCCTTACACATACTATCTCATCCTGAATTCCTTTGTCTGATGGTTTAAAGTGTAAGAGAATTGGCACTGATGTTTTACCCATCACACCAATCAGAGTTGGTATTTCACAAGGAAGTATACTAGGCTCAATCCTCTACACCATGTATATACACTGCTGACATTCACATCTAAACACACACCTCCAAACCTATGCAGACAACACCACAATCATCTCTACGCACACCAACCCCTGCCTAGAAACATCTGAACCTCATTACCAACTGGTGTTCTCAGTGGCGATCAGGTTGAATGAGCATAAAAGCCAAAAAGTAGACAGACCTGCCTTCCAGGTTCAAAAAAGGTAATACCTATAACCAACCAAGTCCTCTATGCTGGGCTTTACTTAAATAGCAGACGTACATGGAACTCACATATAAGATTATAAAGACAAGAACAATAAAAGTTAATGACTACTCAGTCACATATAACAAACTAACCCTGCACAAAACACCTATCAGACCAATTTGGACTTACGAGTCAAACCGTGGGGCTTGATTATATCCTCCAACATCCAACGAATCTTTTCAATCCAAAGTTCTCTGTTGTTCAACGCTATGTCAATAAACAAATGATCTATGAAGATCTAAAAATTCCATTTATGAACAAACAACTGATACATACACGCATTCTAATTAAATTACATTCTGAACGATCCCTCCATACCAACACAATAGCCATGACTATTCCCAACATCCCAGCCTTATAATCTTCCAAGCCATATAAAAAGATGATGGCCTCATCTTTTTAAGTCATCTGTCGGATCAGGACACAGGGAGGAGAGAAACCAGCCAGTGCTGAAACTCTTTTATATAGTTTGGAGGGTTAAGATACGTGGTAAGACTCCTAGGAAGCGAATAAATAAGTGATCGGAGTTCATTTTGTGAAACAGAATCCCATTCTTTAGCAAGAACAGTTTGAAGTTGTCAATGCTTGTAACTCACACTTATGTAGGTATGTAAGATGATAAAAATATCATGTTATATAACTACATTAGTGTACTATAGTAATCATGCCAGGAGCTGGCCAATTCATTGTTGTAAACGCTACATCCTCCAGGAGTGACAATTTGAGGTGCCATGCATTAACCTGAAGTAGTCTCAGATAAATGGTCTGAATGGGACCATAGATTCTATTACTTCCTCAATGTATTTTAGGTAAAGATCCATGTACAGGCATGGACATTGATTCCACAGCATAACTGACTTTGAAAGGGCTGTGACTCCCGCATGGCACATGAAGCAAAGCATCACAAACAGTCCATCTGGTTATCACAAACTAAACTGGCACTCTGTGAAGAGAAAAGCCCTCATTGTTCAAGTTCCAAGCGAGATGGTCAGTTGTGAATAGGCGCCTTTGTACTCGATACCTCTCCAGTAGTAGAGAACCTGATGTCGGACGCCTCCCTTCTCCCAAAGCCTTTTGATGATTCCTTACATTATGGACCATTAAGTAGACTACCTATCAAGTTAGCCATTAAATGTATGCTCCACAATGTGGTAAGACCAATAAAATTGGATGGCCTTAAACTGCTATCGACCATCAGGGTTAGTAGAGTGAGGCATAACCAACTTGGGCTAATAACAGACCATTGCAAAGGATAAACATGAATTCATTTCCTTTATTTTTAAACGAAAGAGAGTAAAATAATAAGTAACACTCTATAAAGAGAAACACCAAGTTATTAATGTTATTTTTACATTTTAAGTCAGCTATTAATTTTTATGCCTAATTGTTATGTATAATAAACACAAATATAAGTGTTCGGTTTTTATTTGGGTGCAGTTTATGTATTGTTTTGTCTAAATGTCCGCCGGTTTTGATTAAATTGTTAATTTTACCATTTTCGCAGTCGCTCTCCACTTCTAGTTTGATCCTTTTTGAAAGGAATTCGTTCAAGTCGGCGTCTCCCTCTTCGAGTGTCCCTTCGCAGGCTACGAATCTGAAGCCGGGAGTGATGATCAGTCAACGTCAGAAACAAAGAAGCTCAACAGAAGCCAAAACAGATGAACGTTGAATGTTACCTTTTGTCAGCTTGCGATCCATCATCAGGCATCGCGTCCAGCATCATCACTTTCTCGCCTTTGTCCATTTTCATTTTCCAACGGCGGCCAACGGCATCACAATTTTTGAAAGAAACTTCTTTCTTTAAGCAGACGTTAAAAAAGATGATAATATTTACACAACTAATCACTCGGTTTACCTCTTGTTAACCACATTTTCGACAAGGTCGTCTCGACTTAGAAACCTTTCCACAAGTTCGTGTCGTCACATTTTGCCGTTTGGTTAACCCATGTGCGACGGCCATTGTCACAGAATGCACAGCTTTTTTTAAAATACGATTTCAAATTATTTAGCATCACAATATAAAGAAAAATAATTAAAAAATTATTAACCGTTTTGCCTCGTAAACAGTAACCGTCTTGATATCATGATGTGTATTTTGATCGACATTAAACCCCCACAAAGCTTCATCCGAATTCTCGTCAATTCCGTTTGAATTGTTATTAGTGTATTGTAATAATAATAATCCATATTTGCTTAATGGTCATAATTGACGATATCAGTTATTCCAATTAATTATTATTTTTATCTAATGTTTTTGGTTGATATGAAAAATTAGTGTCATGAGCGGGATTCGAACCCACGCTCTAACCACGTGAGTTATCATGACTTCAATCCTTTTAGACACCAACTCATATCAATTCACTACCCTTCGATTTTTCCCGCTTTTTTACCATGTTTTCAAATGTCTGTAATCATGATTTGATTCTCAGCGACTTATGAAATGGCCGCGGGGAGCTGTGAGTGAAGTAATTACTTCTTGTAATAAGAAAATTAATCCATATTTGCTTAGTGGTCACCATTGACCATATTCTAATTAATAATTCTTTTTATCTAAGCTTTTTGGCTGAGATGAAAAATAAGTGTCACGAGCGGGATTCGAATTAAAAATATGGCAAAAAAGAGGGAAAATTCGAAAGGGTAAAGGTTGAGATGAGGAGCTGATATCGAAGGGGATCGAAGACACGATAGCTCAAGTGATTAGAGCAGCGGCGTATTAAGCCGAGAACGTCGTGGTTTCGAATCTCGCTCGTGACACTAATTTTTCATCTCAACCAAAAATATTAGATAAAAAGAATAATAAATTGGTGTAATAATAATGTGGCCAGTTTAGGGTCGGAGGAACGGCTGAGGTCATCGCTTGCCCCCTTTACTCCTTTTTTCTGGTCTTGCACGCGTATTTTTCAACCTACGGCTATTCGAGCGTCTCAATCTATTATTGACTCCGCTTTTCCCCATTTGTTAAGTTGTTAACTACACACTAGTAGACATAGATTACTGTAAATATATATCACCACAAACCTAGAAGAGTGTTCACATCCACTCCCTCAGGGTATTCCTCTGGGTTAAGCAACTCCTTTCTTTTTTATTAATAAATTACATTCATTATAATAAATTAACAAAAACACAAAAGTTACACATGACAAACACTATACAGGGTGTTACAGGGTTAAATGTCAATACCGTCCTGATGGATTCACTAAATAAAATCTAGGTTAAAGCCTCCAGAACGAGGTTTCCATCTTGTCTCTTGAGATGTTAACATTTTTGTGATTTTAGACGAAAATCAAAATTTTTCACATAAAATCGTAATTTCTCATTAAAATACAAATCTGACCTTTATTTCGCAAATTATTTTAAATTTTCGTCAAGATAATAAAATTTCCGTTGAAAAATTCGCGCTTTCGAATACACAGTAGCCGCTCAGAGAATGACCAATGACCAAACCTACGTTTTTTTAAAATTCTTATTTGTGGCTCGAGCATTAGCAAAAATCATTATTTTTCCATCAAAATTTCCAGGGATTTCACCAAAGTTGCGTTATTTTCCATAAAACGTCATTCAACACAAAATCAGTCTTATTATATCAAATGTTTACGGCGTTAGTTGATAATGTACTCACCGACTTATGAAAACGCAATTTTTCTTTCTGTTTTACATATCATTAAGAAGTTATTTTATTAGTAACTTCACAGCCTTTTAAGTATTACATAAACAGGCTAAGCTTATCTTGAAGTAGATAGGTAATTATAAGGCGAATTGATAAATTTATTACAATACATATACGACAATTTATTTATAAATGTTACGGAATAAAGTACATTTGTGTAAAACATACAAAAACAAGTATACTATAATACAAATTTACACGATTTCCCTTTATATTACATTGTTGGATTGGTGTGCAATGTGGAAAATATTTTTTTAAGTATAACTGATGTGATGATCAGGGCAAACGACGTAGATAGTCTTGGACCTTTTGACGTTGTAAAACCGATTTCTTCAGTGAAGTCGCTGAGGCCTGCAATGGATTTGGTCGCAACGCGCAGTTTGTAGTGTGTGTTGGGTATCAGGTCGACTATCATATAACGATCGTCAGCTGAAAGGATGAAAAACTTTATAATTACAACAATTAATTTCCATAGGAAAGCTACTATTACGGAATGATTGTGGAATTGTAATTCAAATTTACATAGATAGGACGAAGAGTATTTGATTTTTTGGAAAACTGGCCAATATAATTCATAATTTTCTCTGATAATACACCAGGTAACCATAAAAATTCATGCTGTTTTTCATTAATTATTACTTTAATATCGTTAATCAACATTTCTATTTACGTGTGTGGTGATTAGTGACCGTTAGTCGATTTCTGAATAATTTCTATTTACGTATGAGTATTAGATGTTTACATGACGAAATCCCAAGAGGATAATGTGTTAGTTCATAAAAAAGGATCTTGAACAGTTCACTTTAAATTGTAAAATATTTTATGTTTCATACCTTCAAAGCCATAATTCTTTGGCATTAGTGTATTTTATTTTTTAAATTTTATTATTATTATTTTTTATGACCCTAAACCCCTTTTGTGGATGACAACATTGTCACAATAATATCAAATTGTCATGGGATAGCATCATTTTATTCATCGCTAAAGCAGAATAAAGAAAAGGACACCTGTTCATTGGTCTCTAAGAGTCTCCGTGGAAGAAAAAAAATTGAGTTGCAAATTGTTCAATTTCGACATTGATTCTGCCTGTAGAAATGCCCAAGCCGATATCGAAAAACGAGAAAATCATCTACTGTGATTTCAAGAGGTCGGTTTGAAAGCTGTAAAAACTTGTATTTAATAATAAAGAATGTACCATCAAGACCAGAACAAAATAAAATATATCATCTTCAATTGAATAATGGAGTGGAATATAGTCACCCAATGACCTAAAAAAGAACAAAAATGTATAAGATATGCAACGTCTGTATACACTTTAATTACTGTTAGCGAGGGTCGTGTTGAACCGGCGCACGGCCATTGTGCACCACATCCCCAACGCAACGCCCCCAGCGACCAACAACAGACCAAATACTATATAAGCCATACTCAGACAAAGTGACAGACAGTTCCTCACTGAAGATGGTGCAATGCCGAAACGAGTTTGAATAACGCAAACAAAAAACCCGCGAGTGAAGATAGACCCAGTACATGAATTCATCGATTCGCAGAACAAAACCCATCATCTACTATAACTCAGAGCAGTGATAGGACTACTTACCGGCATCTGACTAAATATCCGGTATAATGATGACGTGATTTGTAGGTTATGCAATGAGGAGGAAGAACCACCAATATCAACTACGAATGCGAAGCAACCGCTCAATGGAAACATATCCTGCGATATGTATATATATAAAACCCAGCGAAAGAAATTGCAGCAATAACAGTTAATCAATTAGCACTCCCTCGGCGAAGGAAAGAGTCGATTGCACTGAACTAGCGGATAGTAAGCCAGAAGGCTGCATTGCTTGGGAACAAAAAACCTGACTTCCTACTATTCATATTCATCATTATCATCATTCTTTTCACGAGTGTCATATTATCATAGTTTTGTATAATTTCATACAACTGTTATCATGTAACTGATGTTGAAGTACACACCTAGCAACTCGAGTTACGAGTTCTCTTGTAGGTTTTTATGATTTGGTTTCGTAACAGTAGAGGTCGTTTTAACCCCCGGACTGTCGGTGTGTTTGAAAAAAGCCCATTTGTAAGAACCCGGGATCATTACCTTAACAGTTGCGGCCACCGAGTCTCTTGGCTTCTTATTTTTTTCTCTAATTTACACTTCACTAGCTACCTTAAAGTATATTTTGGAAATTATTCAGAAATCGTGAGATGCGGTCTGGTGTGATGTAGGATTCAGAAAAACATTTTCTTTATCGTGCCAACGTTTCGATCTTTATTGAGATCATCTTCAGGGCCTGAGATTTACAAACATTGTTTACATATAACAAATACATGTAGGATGTGGAAAAAGTGAATTTATACAATGCAAAATATATTTTTTATATTCAGTCGAAGTATTTCTACTCACTCAGATGATCTCAATGAAGATCGAAACGTTGGCACGATAAAGAAAATGTTTTTCTGAATCCTACATCACACCAGACCGCATCTCACGATTTCTGAATAATTATCGATTAACGGTCACTAATCACCACCCATTTATTTTTAAAGTAAAAAATTGAGTTAGAGTAATAAGTAGAAAGGTTAAATGATAACCTTTGCTTGGTGTTTAGCATCTAGTCGACATATGCAGTCTCATACTTACTGATAGGGACGTCTTGGTAATCTGGATGTATCCAGGCTGGGGAGAAATCCAAAGTGTGAACTTTAACGAACTCAAATCTAAATCCGATCGCCGTTCTTTCGTTTGAGGCGTCGATAGCGACCAGCGCTGTGTTCCCAGTCACTGCGGCGATCCTCACCCTGATAGGGGTTTCCGGTTTTCTTCCCTCACGGAGTATGAACGTTTTCCATATTCTCCCTACTCTGTTGTCCGCCATGCATTCGTATTTGCCCAGCACCCTTTTGTGGAATAATCTCACCTGGTGCAAAAAGCAAAAAATTATTCAAGGATGAAAGTGGAAAATAATCAATCTTACTTGAAGTATGGAACGTTTTTCCTCTTGAATAACGTGGGCGTAGGAGAAGTCCAATGTCCGGTTATCTTTAGTCCAGGCGTATCCCGGTATAGGGTTTCCACCCGCATGACATGTTATGTTGGTCGTTCCACCTAGGTAGCCGTATGCTTCGTTATCTCGGCTGGACCAACTCTGAGGCCATCTCGGTTTATCTGTCGAATAATTGGTTTTCTCTTAACAATAGAGAGAATTATCCATCTAAAGGACTTTTTCATGGCCAAACGCTATCGGCTAGTTGAATCTCATAACCCAACATTCAAAATAATAATATTAATCACGGCTTGAATTTCATGGTCATTATGTAAGCAGGAAAAAGTTAAAACCGTCGTGTATATCGCAAAATGATTTAGCCTGAGTAGAACTTTCCAAATTATATAATCTCCAAGAGAACTGCATACACAACATTGTACACACAAAGAGTTGGATCATAAGATTCATGAATATTTAACGATTTTTTTTTTTTTCATTTCAAAATAGTTAACCTTAACTGTACTGACAAGAAAATACGTTTTTGTTACAGAAAATGTGTTTAAATAATTTTATTAGAAGTAAAAACGTATAGTAATTTTCTTAAACATATTGTTTGATTTTTAAAATATTTAATTAAGTAATGAATTTAATTTTTAATTTTAATGATAAAAACATGCGATAACCTATGCTCAAATAAAATTTTGACAAACAGCAATTTTTATTGTACTACCTACAATAAATTTGTGATAATGGGTCTAAAAGGGGAGGCGACAGATGTGGAATTTGGGCTTTTAATGAAACTTTTTTCGTGATATGTGGTAGATGGAAAAATATTAGACACGCCTCAGAGTATTTCTCTGTCAATTACTAGTAGACGAGGAAATCATATTTGTGTGTGAATTCTTCGGTTTTCTGCATGCATTTCAATGTTCCAATTTATTATTTATGAGATGTTTTATTATTTTTCTCACTTAAAATTATTCCAAACTCTAGTGAAAAAACTCGAAAGTAGGGAAATTAAACTTTTTAACAGTTGTAGCAGTGCCGACACCCGGCATCAGTTCTAACTATATAGATATCTCTTTGAAGATTTATGTATCTTCCTTTATGTTTTCATCATGTCATCTATCTGCTTACAATCTACATACTTGTATGTATCCGTAGGTCAGTGCATTTCTGTAAATCACCTTGCCTTTGCATGGTGCATGCAATCTATAAATCCATCTTAATTTCTGTCTGTGCACACCTTTCTTTTATCTTAATAGACTATAATTTTCTGTTTATTTATATATTGCAATACATATCTATATGTCTATCCGTTTATCTATCTCTATACCTAATAATCATCTACACGAATGCCTATCGATTTTACTGTACATTTAACTGTCTACCTATCAATCTGTTTCTTTATCTATCTGTCTGTCTATCTATACTTCTGCCTGTCAGGCTCAGATACTCTCCCCCCTCTCTCACTCTCTCTCTGTCCCTCCCTCACCCCCTCTCGCTCTCTCTCTCTCGCTCCAACTATCTATGTATTTTTATGCCGTTTAGTTTCTATATTTACTTATTTATTAATATGCCTATTATATTAATATGTATCACCAGGTATGAGAATAGGGTAACCCTCATATGGATACCTGCTCATAAGGGGCACTATGGCAATGAGGAGGCGGACAGCCTGGCCAAGGAAGGTTCAAATNATATATATATATTAATATGTACTTATCGGTCTATTTATCTAATTGCCTATATGTCTATGTCTGCTAATCTTTTTACTTTCCATCTATCTATCTATTTATATTTCTTTGTACCTCTATGTTTCATATATATATATACATATACGGATACAAACATTCAATAACCCAAGCCCACATAAATTTGACAAGCAGCAATTTTTATTACTCTATCTATATAGTTAATTACATAGATATCTCTTTGACGATTTGCTTTCCTTTATGTTTGCCATCATCTATCTATTTACTATCTATAAACCTGAATGCCTGTTTATATTTCCGTCTGTCCATCACCATCTCTATCTATATATCTACCTGCCTTCATTTCTGTCGGTGCATTTAAATATGCGTGGTTTTCTTCATTCTGTGAATACCTTTCCATTTATTTACATATTGAAATGGATGTATGTATGTCTATCTATTTAACTCTCTATTTATCTACAATTTTATCCACATGTACGGCTGTCTATTTCACTGTTTTTTTATTGAATTTGTTTGTTTATCTTCCTCCCTGTCTATGTCTACATATCTACATATCTGTCTGTGAGATACTTGTCTATGTATTTCTCTCTTTTTCTGTCCCTCTATCTATCTATGGATCTGTATGTTTTTCAGTATTCATATTTACATATACGTTTATCTATATATCAACCTAGTTCAGTCTATTTCTCTAACTGTCGATTTGTCTATGTATGCATATATGTCTATGTTTGCTTATGTGTTTATATAGATATGTATCTGTGTATATACCTATCAACGTATGTATAAATTTACCTACAGAGCGCCATCTCTTTGTACGTACAAATTTTAAGATTGAGGTACCATACTTCCTTGTTTGGGTAGTATGTTCAGAAACATATCTAAGTCTATATATCTACAAATCTATCTATAAGTATTATGGCTATCTGTATATTTACTTGTCTGTCTATCAATTTGATTTTATATATATATATATATATATATATATATATATAATATCTGTAAGGTATTTTGCCTATCTCTCTCTACATTCATTTATCTGTCTATGTATTTATATGTCGTTTCGCCTCTATATTTACGTATCTATCTGTCTTACATATCTAGTCTCCGTCTGTTTACCTTTTTGCCTGTCTGTCTATTTATATTTCCATCTAGCTCTAACTGCATCTATTTACTTACATATCCATATCTTTATATATATCTATTTATCTATCTATCTAGAATGTATCTGTTTGTCTTCATATTTTAACCTCCTTTTTTTCGGGATCAAAAATCAAAAAATCTATTCGGAAAATAGGAGAAGTAAGTAGATGTAGGTAGAGGTGGCTAAATGGATGTGAAGATACAGATATACAGATATGTATGTACATACATTTCCATATATATATATATATATAAAATGTAAAATATAAAAAAAATGTAACATATTTACATATATACTTAATTACATTATGTGCATTGAATATTAATCGATTTATATATATATATATATATATATATAATATGAATGTATGTAGGTATATATAAATACATATACAATAAATAAATATACAAAAATAATGTAACATATTTATTATATTTTTACTATTTGGTTATTATTAATTACAAAATGTGCATTGAATAATAAAAAAATACGATACGAAGTAGTCTTGTAGCATACTTGTTAGTAATAGTAATGTGAAACATGCAGTGTGCACTGTAGACGTAATTTTTATTCACACTTCCTTATCTTACGTCTTTAAGAAAATAATTGAAAACATTGTGACTGAATAATTACGATTTGAAAGTGTGAGAATGTTTAATAATTAATAACCTGTTAAGGTTTACAATTGTGTAAGAAGAAAATTAGTTTGTATTTCACAATTTTTTTCCAAATTATCTTTCGCTAAAACAATTACGTTTTATTTGATATTATAATCTAATTTTCACATATTCCATTTGATTCTAGCTGTTTAAAAAAAATGGATCGTGCCTGGTCCGTTCTTTTGCGTGCAAGTGGTATCAGTTTGGATAGCCCTATTTTGTTTATTTGACCATTAATTGTTTTACAAATCCCTTTTTGTTTAGAAATTTTAACATGAATTTGCGTGCCGTATTTCTCGACCGTTTTCTGACTTTCTATAATTTATGCTAATTGATGTAGGCGAGGGTAATTAAATATTGCCCGTTCTTCGTAGCAAAATTAAATCTGAAGGACATGAAGATGAAGAAAGCCTGTGTCAATTAATAAGCAAGGAATTTATCATTAATAATCTCGGTTCGAACTGAAACCTCAAACTATCGTATTTGTAAATTCCACAAAAGGAATTCTCATTCTAAAAACTGGTTGTTTAAATTAAACACAATTTTCAGTTTGTTAGGAAATATCTTAGTTTTGTTTTAGTTCAAATAACGCGTAACTAAGAGTTGTATGTGGTCAAACAATCGAAGAATTGCTAGCATGGAACCAGCTTTTGCAAAAAAAAATCTTTTACTGAGTTTTAAATTTACTTATTCACTTTTGCTTAGGCTTTACAAAAACAGAATTTCAAAAAAATAAATGAAATTTTAATAATAGATTAAGTAACGATTTCTACAAACATCAGATATGCCTGTAAAAAATAACGCTATTGTAGAATGTTAACTGACTATTTCTCATAAATTCTGTAAACTCTTCAATAAAAGGTTTTAAATTTTTGTCGTGACAGTCATGATACATTTCACGTGTTAGATGTATCGACCACTTTTTTATTCAGGAATAATCTGGATCTCGGTACGGTCTGGATGAAAAAATAAATTCAATTGTTCTGCCAAACTTGCGACCTATTTTGGGTCATCATCATGACAAAACAATCTGAAAGATGGCATAATTAAGTTTGTAATAGATGGTTTTTAATTTCTTTGAAGACCGATTGAGTGATGCTATGCGTCATAATCAACGATTATTGCTCTAAGATTTTAAATATATTAATTTCTAATCCATCTAACCTTAGTTATTCTATTATTCATTAGTTATTATGACCCAAAATTACAAAATTGAATTTGTTTTTTCTTCCAGGCAATATCAAAATCTAGATTATTCGTGATTATTTTAACTAGATTTGTTAGACTAAATACTTACACAACACCTCAACATATATTGGCAAATATTCGACGAATGTTGACTTCAAAGTCGTCTGGAGGGCTTGGCAAAGATAGGAACCCTCGTCTTCCAAGGAGACATTTCTAATTTGTAGACCTTGGTGAAACTGGGAAAATCGTTTTGTTCCTAAAAATTACGAATAATTATTGCTGCTTTTATGATGATAAAAATCTCGCCATGACCACGTAAAATCATTAAAATGTATGCGATGCGGTGGCAAACTTCTCTTAACAATTTTACGTCTAGGAAGAACAATTTATTCAATAAATATATTTCAACTACTTCACGATAATTATTACGATTGGGGCTAATTTTATTTATTAAACAATGAACAATTACATTGGACTAATTAGAAACTAATCTATTTTAAATCTTAGTGCAATAATTTTTAAGATCCTGGTATTTGAGAGAGCGCTTCAGTTGTTAAAATTTATCCGAGGCGTTAAAATGTCCCGAATGCTACCCGATGAATTGCAACAATACTGAAGAAGACTCATGTCAAGGGGTCGAAAACTTTATGAATAAATACCCAAGTCCATGTGTACTCTACTGTACGTACAAGAATATTACTTGTATAATATAATTTAAAAAACAGAAACAGCCACAGAATTAGATATTAGCAAAATTATATTAATTATGAATTATGTTTAGGTAGATCTACAATTTAATTATACTAAGATTATTTTCTACTACTTAATTAGCCTTACTAAACTGTTCAAATTAACTTTAATTTGAAAAATAAATCTATTTTGTTTCGTATATTTGGCTTTATACTAGAAAAAAATTTACAAACAAGTACAGGTTCTCAATTTGAATATAAAATCATCACTAAATAAAAGATTAATTAATAAATGTTTATAGAGTGAGGTTCATTTCTTTGAAGTTCAGTTACGTGGGACAAAAGTGGACTCCTTATTAAAGTAATAAGCTTGTTGATCATGGGGAAAGCCAAAATCATTTCCAAGAGCACACCAAAGAAGGTACTGCTATAATTTCCTGGGATTGAATTGGGAATTTACCTTGAACTAATCAAACTATTTCCCAAATTGATATAAATAAAATTTCAGGTTCAGTTCAAAAATTAAAACAAATGCAGGGGTTTTTTTGGTGGAGAGAAAAGACAAACAGATTTCTTGCCAAGGATGCTAGGAAAAAAACTTACTTTATACCAAAGGTATGTTATTTATGTTTTAACAAAATTACCCATTTTCAATAAATATTATTAAGTTAATATGTTATATTTGATATATATTGTGAGATTTTTCTTGGGGTATACGGGGTGATGAACCGGTTTGGCATTTAATTTCTGACCATTTCGCGTCAGGAAAACGAGTTTCGGTAATTTGTCACTTTGTTCTCATTCTCTTTATATTCTTGACCTTTTAGTGAAAATAAAGAAAAGCCCAAAAGTGGTTAGGGCTTAATGAAAAAATTAATTTTAAAGTGTTTCCGACCCCTTTGTCCGCGACACACATCGTGTTAAGCCCTCCTTAATGACGGGAATTATATATTTTTTACAATATTAATCTTAGAAAATGTGTCAAATGCTGCGTTTAAACAACGTATATATAAAATTAATTTAATATTTTTTTGTCAATTACCTCCACGTTTTTTAAATAAAGGATAGTCGTTGAAGTACCAGGTGACGTTGGGTGTTGGGTCACCGTGGGCGTCGCAAATGACCATCATGTTGTGGCCCTCGATCAGTTTTTGATGTCTCGACGGTTCATTAAAATACAAACGTTCTGGAAATGAAAAACAAAAGCAAGTAACGTAAATAATAACGATTGGATGTTAAATGATCCATCGGCCCGTTTAATCTCGCTGGTTCTGCCGGGTAATAATGAAAAACAAGCAAGACATAAGACAGAAAAGCTGACGAGTACGATTGATAAAATATAGACACTTCCATTCATCTTATAGTAAGTGTGATGTGTGAACGATTTAATTTGCAAAAGGATTCTAAATTTAACGAAATTTAAAGACGTATTTTGGAAATAATGATACCTACTGACAACAGACATGGTGAACGATGCCTGCTGCAATTCACCACGGACGTTCGACGTACAGGTGTATTTGCCTCTGTCGGCTGTGATTACGTTTTGAAAAACCAAAAGTGAATGGTGTTCGAATTCGATCATCGTCTCCTCGATGTGAACCCTACAAAATATTCACTTAGGTATTTGACTTTTACATAATAAATTGAAATATACCTTCCGTATTTATTTTGGATGATATTGCCGTCGGGTCCTCGCCACGTTGTATTGAAAGTATCTTCACCGTGGCATAAGACGACGTAGGATCCATTGTACAGCTGCTCAGTTTCAGAGACGGAAGGCTCAATTACTATATTACTCAACGTACATCCTTAAAAATAATACCATATATAACCAATACCTTACATAAAGATTAATTAATTGATAGAGGTTAATTGGCCAATCGGACCACGAAATCTAATGGATTTAAAAATATTCATTTCTTTTATATACAAAACATTATTAATTATTTTAGACTGATTTTAACAAATATAATAAATCTACGGTCATTTTGCTGAGATTTCTCATATAAGACAAGCAGTACTGAAATTTCTTCTTGAGGTTTGCTTTTCCTCGTTGTTTCGATCAGTGGCTTTTCAATTTTTCACCATGTTCAATGGTAGGTCAGGGATAAAAGCAGGTTGACCACAAACTGTCACGAGTAACACTGAAACGTGTCTGACAGACCAAAACAGCGAGGATAGCAAAATCAAAAAATTCAAGTTACAAAAATTTTGTTGATTTAAAAACGGATCATAATCAAATTAAAATTTACACTGTTTGTAAAATATCTTGGATTGTTTATACAGTAAAATTGTATTGATACAATTTCCGCAAAATTGAGAATTAAAAATAGAAATTTATCTTTTTGATTCTTACTGCCGACATATGCCAGAATTCATAACTTAACTATAACTTTAGGGTGTCGGTGGCCGCAACGGTTAAGGCGTTCACACGGTACTCATCATTGTAAGGTAAAGTTCCAGGGGACGAATCCAGCGGCCCTGTATGAGAACCCGAATTATTTTTTGCTTCTTTTATTTTTATTTACAATTGTATATGTATTATATACAACCAGCAGTTTGGATTTCAATTTATGATTGTGGCATTACGGGCGTTATAGAGAAAGCTACCTATTGGTAGCCGGTCTAGATTAATAAAACGATATTAATAATTCGCTAGTTTTCGTGGTCCGCTTGACCAATTTAATATCTTTCAATTAATTAAGGTTTTTAGTTGAGATAAAAAATTGAGATTGAAAAATGGCAAAAAGGAGGGACAATTCAAAAGGTGGAGTTGAGATGGGAAGTTAGTATCAGAGTGGATCGAACTTCGAAGTCACGATGGCTCAAGTGGTAGAGTAGCGGCGTATCTAGCCGAAGGTCATGGGTTCGAATCCCACTCGTGACACTGACTTTTTATCTCAACTAAAAACCTTAATTAATTGAAAAATATTAATAATTTTATTTATTTTTCTATAACATGGCCTTGTTGTACAGACATTAGTTGATAGTTAGATAGTTTTAGGACGGGTGCATATATAGGGACTCCAGGAGGCCCAGCCCAGCCGCAACCGACAAGCTCCGGGAAGAGGAAGGCTTACCTTTTATTTATTATCTCTTTTACGGAGGTCCGTCTGGAGATGTGAATAAAACCACTACATCGAGATACGTGGAAAAGTTCACATCTCCCAGACCTACGGAGGCCAATATGGTCAGGAAACCCTCCCCCACCCACCGTCCGCCGGCACTCGCCGAACCGACCACCCCAGGATGCTCGCCCTGCATCCGCCCTACGGTGATGCCTTAAATTCGAATTTTACCAGCCCGAAGATACTCCAGAATCGCCTCATAAACTTCTAAACTTTCACAGCCCAAGAGGGACTTGTAATTTACTGGTTTTTCCAAGCCCTTAATATCGCCCCATTAGAGTTTTTTCTATTATTTAGATATTTCATAGGTCGTAATGAGGTGCTCAAGATCCTCTGATATTCCACACGTTTCGCAAAGATCATCATCACGTACATGTATTCTGTGAACATATACTCCACATATCCCATGGTTTCTCCTAAGCCTGTTGATTGCCCTTGATTCCTCCCTATTCATGTTTGTCATTGTAAACCACAGCTTTTTCCTGAAGTTTGGGTTTAAAGAGAAATAAAATTTTCCAGTCGGAGCGGAGTCACAGTAGGCCTGCCATTCTTTATTCTTCCGCATTTTCATTTGGCAATTAAAATCTGAGACTGGGGTCGGAAGCTCCTGACCTATACCATCCTGCATGGCTTATTAATCATTTACGAGGTCTCTTATCCACATTTTCAGTCTGTACGTCTTTTCGTTTTGGTAATTGTAGTGAATGGAGTGGTAGTATGATTTTATAATTTACTATGAAAATGTCTATAACGTGTTTTGATGAAAAAACTGTTGGCATGTGAAGATGCCCAATTAGCCTTAAAAGTTTGGATTGAAAACTTTGTTATCTTTGAATATTGGAATATTTGGCCGATTCGTAAACTTGGTACCCATACATCCAAATAGGTTTGAGTAAGTATGTTGAATGTTTTGATTTTAATGGTAATTTTGATTGTCGGATGATTAGGTAATAAAGCATTTTAAATCGTTTGTTGAGTGTGTTTTTTTTCCAAGTTAGCCTTCTATCAAGTCCTAAATGGTTAACTTTGTCGGGTTGAGGAACAGGTTCATTGTACAAGTATATGCAAGGGCAAGTATCACAGCGTAAAAATGATATGTTGTGACTTTGAGGTGTTAAACTTTATTTTCCAAAGATTGCTTTATTTTTTTTTAATTGTTGATGCATGGTTTTGTAACATAAGTGAAGCTTGTAGAGGGATGATTTGTTAATATGGTGGTGTCATCTGCGTATATGACGGTAAGTGTATCATCTCATTTGTGGGCATGTAGCACTAAAAATTGTGTACAACAGAGGAGCGAGTATTGACCCTTGTGGCACACCTTCAAGCACTTCTTCCATCTCAGAAGTCTTTAATCTCTGGTTTACTGCGAAAAATCTCTCCTTAAGGTAGAAACAGATAATAGGCCTGGAGTAAAAAAGAAAATAATTTGTATAATAATCCCTCATATCATACTTTCTGGAAGGCCTGAGAAACATCTAGAAACACTACAGTGGCGTACAGTTTCTGCTCGAGACATGTAGTAATGAAATCTGTGAAGTTGTTGAATAGTAGAATGAGGGTTGGAAAGCCAAACTGATGGTCTGGTAAGATGTTATTTGAAGTAGCGATAGAGATAATTCTTTTGTAAATTAATTTTTCGAGTAATTTAGAAGGAAGGTGGGGAGTTTAAAATTTTATGGGGCTTTGGGATCATTTTGATGTAAGAAAGTTTCAATTATATGGGAAAATGTGTAGTCCTCAAAATTGCTTCAAATAAAGAAGTCAGAAAGACGACGGCCTTTTTGGGAAGTTCTTGAAGAACTTCAGCTGTAATCAAATCATGACCAGGCGATTTTTTTAAAAAGGAAGGTGTCGTATTTCTTGTGATACTTGTTTTAAAGTTAATGGTTTACCTAGCAGATCTAGAGGTATAGGTGTATAAGTGATAACCCGACATATAAATGTTTTTGTTTTTTTCAAAAACAGCAGCAACACGAGGGTAGGTGAAAAACATAAACTTCAAGCCATTAATGTATTATTTGTAAGATCAAATTTTCGTAAAAAAATAAAAACCATACATTTTATGTCTTCATCAAGCTACTACTTCTAGAGGATCATTCTGTAAAATTCTTTTAAATTTAAAGTCCTAATCAAGAGATAAAATATTTCACGTAAACTTGGTCGATAATAGATTTGTAGTTATTGTTTCTCTGTTAAAATATTTTTCATTCTATCACCAAAATGTTGACTTGTGCACCACTTTTAAAAACTTTTTTCAATTTGAAATTACATTTATATGATTTACTATATATTTACAAAAACACTCGTATTTTGTTGTTTAATTTAAACTGCATGAAGTTTTATCATTATATTAATTACAACATACTTATACTAATGTAAACCAAATTAAACGAAATCAGAAATGTATGAATTTTAATAAAAATTATATAATTATGATGGTTTGAAAGAACATTCACTACCATCGCTGAGGGCCTTAACTTTGAGGCGGCGAACGATGTCTAACCGATGTCTCTTTATGATGTCCCATAAGCCCATAAGTGTTCTATAGCATTCATGTCAGGAGAACGTGCTGGCCAATTCATTGTGGTAATCTCACATCTTCCAAAGGATGAATGACGGGAGGTGAATTAAAACAGAAATAAAGCAACAAAAGAATAGCACAATACAATAAAGCGAAAAAACGAGAAAATAAGTAAATGAAAGTAAAACAAAAAAATAAAGTAAATAAAGCATTGTGAATATCGGGTCCCCTGTTCCGATTCTTGGAGGACATAGAGGTGTTGATTGTATATAATACCGATAGTTTTGTGCCAATATCGTGTGTTGACAGTAAATGTATTTATTAGCGTGAATGTGTGAGAGGGCCAATGGCGGAATATTGAGTACCCATTGACCCCCCCCACTTAGATGAGTTTCACAGGGTTTCTCTTTATTGAATGAATTACTTCACCACCATATTCTACGTCTCAAATGGAAGAAAAATATCGCATAAGCTATAACTTTTTGCAGATATTCAACTTTTTTTTAAACTATCTACGGTTTTAGACATAAATCTACTCGCAGCTCTTGAAGTATTAATTTTTGCAAAAAAAAAACAAACAATGAAACATTGAAATTTTCTTTAGCATCCTTCTAGAACATTCAATTTAATTTTTGTTAAAAACCTAATCTTTCAAAAACTGCTAAATTTAAAATTAGTAAAAAAACTAAATTTGCATCCTCAATAGAAAAATTAACGGTAGAGCGGTAGAGGTTCAAATTTCATAAACACGTTTTCTATTATGATAAAGGACCCGGGTTCGAATCCTGCGGCCTTGAATTCGAATTCAACATTCTTACAAATAGGCTTTTTTTCAAAAACACCGGCACCCTAAGAGTTGATATGCCCTCTGCTGTTGCGAACCCTTGTTTGAAAAAAGAAAAAAAAACAACTTCTTCATTTAATAAGCTTTCTAGCGATATACCTTTGCTTTAATTAAATCGAACCAAAATGCAGAAATTTTATGGTAAATGGTAAAAAAGTGGGGACGGTGTGAAAAAGGGGGAATGGAGGTTAATTTTTATCCTGTGTAAAATTTATATACCAAATTTAACTTCATAAAAAGAACACATATTTTTTGTGCTTGTTTATTAAGTTAAAGCTTTGAAATAAATAAATAAATTTTGCTCTGCCCAGT